GTCCTGTTTGTAGGGCTTCAACTCCATTGTCAGACCTCAGTACGAGGTCCTACTGAAGTCCTGCTCAAGACCCACTCACGTTGTAATTACCTTGGTCGAAGTTGGGGTAACCTTTTGCCTGGAGCGGTCACTCTTCTAGTGTATCGAGATCCTGGTGCTCTGTATCCTTTAGTTGACTCTTCCTCTATTGGCCCTGTGTCTTCCTAAAACAGCCTGACACTGTCTTCATCAGCATGTCACCTCCGTTCCAGTCACCTGTCACTTGCGGTTGTCTCTGGAGTTCCAGGCGGATAGTTCTTCCACCACACTCTGGCGTCCACACTGGGTTCTCCTCCAGAACGAGGCTGCAGCTATGAAGACAATGCTTCGCTGTCACGTGGGTGCTCGCCACCTTCCAGCGCTCTGCCGACTGGCCACCTTCTTCACTCCGCCGAGGGATCAGGGGATCAGGACAAAGCAGCCGCCCCCACACCTCCTGCACCTCGCACCGCTCCACCCCACTGACAGAAGCACAGAGAATAGGTAAGGAGAGGGGCTTCAGCACGACTCCATTCCTAAAAGTTCACAGGTGCCATGTTCCAGCCCCTCCCCTTCCTGTGATGTATGCTGATTTACATCAATAGACAGCAGTTACAAACATGTATATAGAAGACAAATACCTCCCTCATCCATAAAGCTGCTTGGAGCTTGATTTGTTCTTGCTTGAATGGGTATCACCAATGCAGGTGTAAATAGCAAACACGTTTACCATTAGTGGTGCAGAAATGGTGGCCATCATTCCATTAATCAAAAGTTTCCCTCCACTGGCTCCCCATTGCCCAACTAATAAAATTCAAAACATTAACAATAACATTTATAACTCTGCCCCCAATTACATCACCAATCTTGTCTCCAAATATCACCCGAACTGTCCTCACTCCTCCCACGACCTCCTGCTTTCTAGCTCCCTTGTCTCCTCCTCCCATGCCCATCTTCAAGACTTCTCCAGAGCTTCCCCCATCCTCTGGAACTCTCTACCCCAATCTATCCGACTATTGGCCTACTCTGCTCACTTTTAGGCAATCTCTGAAAACCTATCTCTTCAGGGAAGCCTATCTTGCCATCCTCTAATAATCAAATCTTCCATTTCTCCCATCAGTTTATCCTCCGCAGTTATTACCTTTTGTACCACTAGCCCCTCCCTCTTAGATTGTAAGCTCCAAGGAGCCGGGCCCTTCTAACCCTCTTGTATTGAACTGTATCATTCTGTATTGTTTCCCTTTTATATTGTAAAGTTCTGAGCAAACTGTTGGCGCTATCTAAATCCTGTATTATAATAATCATTGTATTTTATCTCTTTAACTCATGTTGCAATGGCATTAATTGGCATTGTGCATGGTAAAGCAGACATTTTGCTAGTCTTGTAACAAAGTGAAAGTGTATTCTGTTTTGATGCACCTACAGCAAACAGATACAGCTGACCTCTCTTTGCTCATAGCTAAGAAAAGCTTACTGATAGACTGCTAGACGTAGACTGTGGATATTCAAATACAGTATTTACATATACTTGCAGGCAAATATAGCTTTAAAACAAAGCACCTCTCTAGCTGCTTGTACTGTGAAGTCATTCTTTCTCACAAATTACAACAAAAGTCTCTGAGGTCAGCTTTCAATTGATTTCTGAGGCTCCATGCACACTGGCTTAGAAACAATTCTGCTCCTAGAGGCGTTTAGCATTTGCCTGTAGAAGCAACTAATGTTATCCTATGTTTCCATGCACATTAGATAGTCTAGAGGCATTTTTTTAAGCTCAGCGTTTGAAAGGAAAACCTTTCTGATTTGCCGTTTTTTAAAGAGCAAAACGCTCCTAAATACTAATACAAAAAAACATTCAGAATTAGTGTTGATTACTCCGTTTTGGACTCAGCTCCGATACTATGAACTGCCTTTATTTTTAAGGAATTCATGCATTATCATGTTCTAAGCAGTGTTTCTCAACCTTTTTTCAGTCAAGGCATCCTTTAAAATTATGGACGGTCCCGAGACACCCTTTAAAATTATGGACAGTCTTGAGGCACCCCTAGATTGTCCATAATTTTAAAAGGGCACCCCATTCTAAATTGTGAAAAAACTATTCTAATAGTTTTACATAACGCAGCAACATCCACACATGTAGGGCACCCAAAATTAGAGGTGATTTATTCTTCCAAAGCAAATACACTTTTCCATACTGGTACTGACTAGTATTCCATTGTTTCTCTCCTCCCTCAGTTTTTCCATCATCTGAGCTAATGTTACCCCAGCACTGAATGAAAGCGTCAGGGGAGGACCAAACCATTATGCTGTAAAAGCAACTAACTTACTCTTTATCTTTAACTAATGATGTCATTGTTTGTCAGGACGCTGGTGGCTAGAAGGTCATAATGGTGCACAATGAAAACCTGTGCCTTTGCGTAACTAAAGTGTAGGCTTGTTCCACCCGCTGGCTTGTATACAAGTTTGGGGCAATTTTTAGACATTGCCAAGGCACCCCTGTAGAAACCTCAAGGTAAGGTCCCTGGGCACCCAGGGTTTTAAGGGACTGTTCCCTCTGTGCCCATTTGGTTGCTATTTGAGAAAATCCTGCACATGTATGAGGGAGGTCTGTTTATCTAACCCTCCCTGGGACGGCACCCGTACATCATTGGGTGCTAGAGGGAGGTGAAGATCTGTATCATCCATTTTGCATAAAAGCACAGTTTGCTTCCTCCTCTGGACTCTGTTGTCTTCCACTTGGGCTTTCAATTTTCTACCACAAGACGCTATGGATCATCTGTACAGTGCATGAGGGAGGTTGATGCTGGTTTAAAATTCCTCCTCTGGACTGCACGTTATGTGAATATATTACCTTTCCTCTAACGAGGGCTGTATGTGCTTTACCCTTTAATAAGGAGCTTTGCTGGCCATTATGGGACTATATATATTTCAACATATGGCCCACCTTATCCCCCAAAATTGAGGGGGAATAGTATGAGATCTGTGGAGTGTGGTGCTTTTTTGTTTTTAAAGATAAATGGGAGTATCCTCCTGCGCTTTATATAAATAAAATCCCTATAATAATAGCTGCTGTCACTCGACTTAAACCAATAAGTGATCAATGTGTATACATAAATTAGTGAAGCGCTGTAAATTTATTAACAATAAATAAATACTATAGTGCCTTTTATAACGAACTACTAGTGCTCTGTGCTAATAAACTCATATACATATATATATCCTTATAGTGAAAAATGCACAAACCTAAAGTGAATGGTGGTAACAACTATACCAGGGGAAACCAATAGGGCCGCTGCGTCCGGACATGCGTCACCACGTGACCGGAAATGATGTAACTTGAAACCGGATATGGCATACTGACGCGTTGCGTCACGTGCGTCGTGACTTCATCAGGATTCATGAAGTCAAGACGCACGTGACGCAACGCGTCGCTACGCCATATCCGGTTTCGAGTTACGTCATTTCCGGTCACGTGGTGACGCACGTTCGGAGGAGCGCCCTTTTTGGTTTCCCTTGGTTTCATGCAATACACCCATGGGATGGGGTGAAACGCTGATGTAACAAGGAATATATGTGAGTGCAATTTTTGTCTTTTATGCTGTCCTTATTAAACATTATTGCACTATGGAAGGATTTTTCTTGTGTCTTGTATACTATTGAGTGGAGGTGGAGTGGAATAAAGAAGTCTCCATTTATCCTGTGATCCCTGGATGAGCAATCTGCATATGAGGATCTGATACAGAGGAGAGTAATAGCCTTTTGGCCCTGTGTGGGTCACTGTGTGGGTCAGTGTGGGGAGGTGAGCAGGCAATGCTGCCATTTAAGGATTTATACACTAGAAGTGAAGATCACTCTTTCACGAAGTTTCACTTGCATGGACTTGTTCTCATATATTCATTATTCACGGATGTTTTTTTTATTTTTGTGATTCACAGTTATGTTAATTCATTGTATAATAATTTCATTGAATATTATTTATACACATGGTATAGTTGTTACCACCATTCACTTTAAGTTTGTGCATTTTTCACTATAAGGATATATTCCTTGTTACATCAGCGTTTCACCCCATCCCATGGGTGTATTGCATGAAACCAGGGGAAACCAATATGGCCGCTGCGTCCGGACGTGCGTCACCACGTGACCGGAAATGACGTAACTCGAAACCGAATATGGCGTACCGACACGCTGCATCACGTGCGTCGTGACTTCATGAACCCTGATGAAGTCACGACGCACGTGACACAACGCGTCGGTACGCCATATGGACTTGTTCTCATATATTGATTATTCACGGATCTTTTTTTTATTTTTGTGATTCACAGTTATATGTTAATTCATTGTATAATAATTTGATTGAATATTATTTATACACATGGTATAGTTGTGACCACCATTCACTTTAAGTTTGTGCATTTTTCACTATAAGGATATATATATGTATATGTGTTTTTTATCACAGAGCACTAGTAGTTAGTTATAAAAGGCACTATAGTATTTATTTATTGTTAATTTACAGCGCTTCACTAATTTATGTATACACATGTTTTTAAAGATGTTTTCATTAAAGAAGTCGTTCATGAATTTGTTTTGACCATCAGCCCATTTATCTATGTTAGTACAACAAAAACAGATATATAAAAAAAAAACATGAGTCCTTGTTGAATCCATAACTAATCATTTTAGTTTGGTTCACGTATAGATTTTTGATTGGAGATTCCCGGACTATTTATAATTTTGAGACCTTGAGGCCTTTCTTGGGAGGTGGTATTCAAAAAAATAAACTGGCAGAGGTTTTTCTTTAATTATACAAGGTTAGTGAAGGGCTCAGCATGTTCTGTTTTACTTATAAAGACCATTAGTAAACTATTTCTTTCTAAAACTGATTGTTATGCATATTGCCTTTGTGTTCTAGCACATTCTTCTGTTCATTCTGTTTTATTTCCGTTTATTCTCTTCTCTTTTCCTTCCTATCTTTCTAAAAGCTTTTGTTGAACTTCCAACTACGTCGTTTGATGACTCTTGTAAATCAAGTCAGAGTTCGCAAGGTAAACTTGAATTGATTCTTTAACCACTTTGCCCTCCAGAGGATTTACCCCCCTTCCTGACCAGGCCATTTTTTGCATTATGGCGCTGCATTAGTTTAACTGACAATTGCGCGTTCATGTAATGCTGCACCCAAATGAATTTTAAGTCCTTTTTTCCCCAAACAAATTGATCTGTCTTTTGGTGGTATTTGTTCGTTTGTGCGTTTTTTCATTTTTTACCCTATTAAAAAAAAAGACAATTTTGAGAAAAAAAACATTTTTGACTTTTTTGCTATTAAACATGTCGAGTAAAAAATTTTTAAAAAACCAAATGTCATAAATTTAGGCCAATACGTGTAAATGAATTGGTTTACGTGAATGTTATAGCCTTTACAAATGGCTGTATATATATACTGGGATTTTTTTTTTTTTTGTACTAGTAATGATGGCGATCAGCGACTTATAGCGGGACTGCGGCAGGCATTCTGACGCGGGGGGGGAAACTGACTTGGTGTAACTGACATCCCTAGTGACACCAATACAGTGATCAGTGCTAAAAAAGAAAAAAAAAAGCACTGACACTGTACTAATGGCACTGGGCAGGAAGGGGTTAACATGAGGGGCGATCAAAGGGATAACCGTGTGCTGTTTTACTATTTGCAGTGTGTCTGTGCTTCACTGTAAGCACACTGCTTTGCATGGCTGTGTTGTGCACAGCCATGCAAAGCAGTGTGCATGAGCTGACCGGGTTTGTTGTTTACAAACTCGGCAATCACTGGGCGCTGGCGAATAATCACCAGCCGGAGCCCAGTGATTGATAGCTGCAGCCGCGAGTGGCGGCGCAGGTAGGGCTCGTGTGCACCACCCGGTTATTTTGTGCACCCATGCTGCCCTGTAGCAGTATTTCTGCTATAGGGCGGTCGGGAAAATGGTTAACAAGAACTACATTGCTGGAATTGATTGAGTCTCCTTGGAAAATGTGTTTTGTTATTACCAGCTTTGCAAATTACATAATTAGGTTGTCTGAGTGACCATACCTAGGAAGTAGCTAAACAGTGCACTGAAGGTGGTACAAGTTAGATGATCACTGTGCCGCCTTGGAGGCAATCAATATTCCTAATTAGAAAGCTATTAAATGCTTGGAACCTACGACAAGACATAACTAGAGCCACAGTGTGCAGGAAGGTGACAGCCATGTACGAATAGATTCATAATGTGACCATGCATGGCTTCCACAAACAGATACACTTCTGCACTCGTATTTGCCGTTATATACAGTGTTAGGTGCTACATATCTGGTTGGTCTCTAACACCTATGTATATTCTTTATTTTTCCAGTTCTCAGCTCAGAACGAATAGATCAGATGACTAGGAGTTATAATGACACAGATATGCTAAGCCACTTACTGACAGAGGTAAGTCTACTTATTCTTTATCAGTGGTTGTAAATTATTATTGTATCTGTAACGGCAACATTCTATACCTTAAGTCTGAACCTGTTGTTGTTTGTCAAACATAAACTGTAATAAAGAACAATGTGGGATGGAGAGGTGGGGTCAGTACAGTTATGTAAAAATAACGTACCTTTGCTCACATATTACTGTTTCAATGCATTAAGAGAACCAGTCATAATAGCAGTGCAGGACCTGTCAATACTAACTTGTGTTTTATTGTGAAAATTTTGGAGCGGTCCTCCAAATACTTATTCACTACTGTACTTCACTAATAATGAGTCACTGACTTGGAACAGAGGCAGCTCCTGTGTTGCTGTTCTCTTTCACCGCCTCCCGTCCGCCATATAAGTAAATGATGGACGCGAGGTGGTTCTCTCGTTTTTGGAGGATGTCATGTGACATCCTCCCACTCTAACCCGCATGCGCGCCCCTGGGGGCGCATAGCACGGCGATCGGTGGCGCACTGTGTCCCTGGGACTCAGTGGAAAGAGCCAATGACGTCGGCTCTGCCATGTGATCAGCTGTGTCCAGTCACAGCTGATCGCATGTAAATAAGGAAATACCTGTTATCGGCATTCCTCTCCTCACGAGCTGTCACTCTGACAGCTTGTGAGGAGAGGAGAGCTGGTAATCGGCATTACTCAGAGGGGACATGTACACTGATCATCAGGGCACTGATGATCAGTGTAGCCCCATCAATGCCACATATCAGTGCCCATTGTAGCTGACTTTCAGTGCCACCTATCAGTGCCAGTCAGTGTCACCTATCCGTGCCATATGAGCATTGCCTTTCAGTGCCCATCAGTGATGCCTGTCAATGCCCATCAGTGCCTATCAGTGCAGTCTATCAGTGCCCATCACTGCAGCCTCATTTGCGCACATCAGTGAAGGAGAAAAATCACTTATTTACAAAATTTTATAACAGAATCTAAGAAAAAAACATTTTTTTTTCAAAATTTTCAGGTATTTTTGGTTTGTTTAGCAACAACTAAAAAAACCCAGAGGTGATTAAATACCACGAAAAGAAAGCTCTATCTGTCTCAAAAAAATGCAAAAAATTTCATATGAGTGCAATGTTGCATGACCGCGCAATTGTCATTCAAAGTGTGAGAGCGCTGAAAGCTGAAAATTGGCCTGGGCAGGAAAGGGGTAAAAGTGCCCAGTAGACAAGTTGTTAAAAGCCCCTGCAGTGCATTTGCAAGTCAAGCTTCAAGAGGTACCCAAAAGCAAACATTTATTATATTGCAGATTACCATTTCTTAGATGTAGTGGCTGTACTGGTTTTCTTTTTAGGCTTTTTTTCCTTTCCTTTCACCAGGTAATCTAGCCTGTACGTCTGTTGTTTTTCAACAGAACAAGCTCTCTATCAGAGTATTGAGACAAACCATTTACCACTGACAGGGTTACTTAAAATGATCAGCTTTTTTTTATTCACGTAAAACCTTTATCCCAAAAGAAAAAAAAAATCGGTTATAACTGCTTGTGCAACTGCAGTACGAGCTGGAGTTTGGCTTTAATTTGTTAGTGTATCTAAATCTGCTAGTATATTTAACACTCCCTTCCCCCAGACTGACCATGCTGCTGTTCAAAGGTGCTACTTCACAGTAACTGGGACTGTAGCTGAATAATGATGAAAGAGCAGCAGCACACTGATTATGGCGTCCCTGTGCTCTACCCTTCTGTAAAGCTTGCCAAACACATTACAATCTGACTGTACAATTTTTGTACAATCTCCTTTTATGTTTACTAAAACGGCGTAATATCCAGACCTTGTTAAACTATCCAAATTTCAATTTGTATCAAATCTTGCAAGCACTCATTCTACATAGTTGTTGGTAGATCTGAAGAGTTTTGTACAGTTATATTGTAACATGTGGCGGGCTTAAACTGTAACTCAGCTTTTGTGGGGGAAACACGGAAAATAAAAAAAAAATGACACACATGTACAACTACTACACTAGCCATATTGTAATTAAATGTTATTAAAATTACCTTTTCAATCTGCAGACCTGTAATTTTCTGTAAAATTCAATGCAATATGGCAACCTGGAGGCATTCTGCATACAATTGGTGGGTAAAATTCAATGCAATATGGCAACCTGGAGGCATTCTGCATACAATTGGTGGATAAAACATCCCCAGAAATTTAACTTCCTGTTTGTGCGATTGGCCCACTGAATTTCCCAAAAGTCTTCGCTAAGATGCAAATTAGATTTTGGGCATCCAATTATAATTTTTGGTGAGATACTCCCAAAGGATTAGTCACTTCTAAAGGGATTCAAACCCTGCACCTTTCCTCATTAGAATACTGTAAGTGCATCAGCTGATTACTGATGAAAAAGTCACTCCTATTCTGGTTCACTTTGCACACAGCAAACAGCCTTTTCTTCAGAGCATAAACAGGGTGGAATCTGCAACAAAGTTTGATCAAATCCTTGCGATGTAATTTGATCACACATAGGGGATTATATTTTTCTCGACACAAGTGAAGTTACTCTTTAAAAGCTGAACTTTGGCCTAAACAAATATTGTCTACATACAAGAGGCATGTGTATTCTTACTTGAATCTTGGTGCGGTTCATGTATTTCTTTCAGATCTGTGCAGTAATCAAGTGTGAAACCTTGCCTCTGTACAGGAGCTTCCTATAATAAAGACCGGTCACTGCTGCTCTCTCTTCTTGCACAAGGTGACTGGTCTTGTCTCCGCCCCTCCTGTAGCTTTCTGTAGGAAGTCTGTAGTGGATGGAGCCTGCTGGACCCCTCTCCCAGCTATGCTCTCTGCAAAGACTATGTACAGCACAGTGATGATGTCACTGCTATTTTTACTAAGTAATATCTGGGTTTGAAAAGCCATTTAGTGCACACAAAATGGACTTCTATCCTATGTGGCTATTGAGAAATATCATTAAAGATTTTGTGCCCAGAGTTCAGGTTTAAGTATGTTGTGTATGCTGGTGTGACAGCAATATGCAAAGCAGAAAAGCACTAATTGGCTGAGTATTGATCCTTTCTCAAAGGCTGCTGTACAGAGGATTACAGGAGTCTGACATTAACACAGATCAAGGTTCTTTGTAAAATAATTCTCTATTTTTGGTGTATGTATAACCAGATTTAATGGTGTTTTATAATTCTGCCTTTCAATATAGGCTAGGGGAGTTAAATGTCGTTGTGTGTGAAAGTGTCAATCAAGACATCACCATAGTTGAATAGAGAGGTAGAGTTAAGGTTTTAATTTCAGTAGTCACATAGCCAATATGCTTTACAAAATTACAGCCAGTGCTACATTTTTCAAATCCATTTTCTATATTAGTTTATGAAAACACGTCTTTTCTTTTATCTGAAATGTGCCTGTCTATTCTTAGACCGCTTAGTAACTCCTAAGCTTTTCTGAAATTGTTCTACCCTCCAAGAAGCCCTTAAACAGACCACACCCCCAACCCATGTTCACTGAGAAATATGATATGTGCCTGCTCTACCATGTACTTGTATGAAAAAGTATCCTGTTCTCTTTATATTACTTCCTTTGTATAAAATCCCTGGTGTTCCTGCCAGTCCCCCTGCTTTCCTATTAAAAACTGGCCACACTAAGCATGAGAGCACAGCGTGGTCAGTTCTCTAGCTGTGCTGAGTAGTTGTACTGACATGCCCCATCCTGCATAGCCATTCACTAGAAAGATTAGTGTGCTGCTGTTTCTCCTTTCCTAGCTCTCATGCAGCTGAGAACAGAGGGCATGTGATCACTTATAAAAAAGAGGAAGAAGTGTTCATAGTATTTTGTTTTGTTTTTTTTATATATCTATACACAAATATTTTGCCTTTCATTTTTATTTTAAACTGAATGGGTTGTTTTACAAGATGAGGATTTACATATACTTTAATGCATATTAATTTATTTATGCATTGAAAATAGATTTACTTTACAGGCACCTTTGAACAAGTCATATCAGTTGCTATTGTTGAAGAAATTGCAGTCTATTATTCTTACGTCTATTGTCTGCATACATTGTAGATAATTATATCTAGCGATGGAATGGTGAACCACAATGCATAGACACAGGCTAAACATATGAGTACCATGTCAATTGTGCGTTGATTGAAACTGAACAAAGGGGTCTGGAAAAACTCTTGTAATAATCAGGACAGTGTTTATTATCATCAAATGATTGTTCTCAGCTTCTGAGATATGTCATCTCCTTTGTGTTCACATATTAAGACTGTTTCCAATTTCTACAAAGATATAAAAGACACAGCTCTTCAGGGAATCCACTCCTAGGCTTCCTACACACTAGCAGTTTTTTAAACTCCTAAACTGTTCCCAGAAGCAGAAGCTAAATCGTTTTTTTCAGGGATGCACAAATTATATCGCCCGACGCCTGGGGCATGCAGTTCCGGCCTCCAGGCAGGTGTTTTTCTTGTACTGTTAGCCCTGTTGTAGGCAGCAGTACTTTTTTTTTTGCCCAGGCAATTCATTGCGATTCCCGTTCTAAGCAGCAGTGATCGAGTCACTTCTGCAGGCAGCAAAAGCCCCCCCTGAAGTCCTGCTGTGGGTCCTTGTAGAGGATGTCCGCGCTGCGCCGACCCAGGGAGAGTTCCATAGTGCAGGCTGAATGGAGGAGATCAGAGCTGCGGGAGGCCGGGCTGTGGGACATGTCTGCCTACTGAACTAGGGACAGAGGAAGAGATCTGGGAGGAGGAGGATAGAGAGAGCACTGTCCGCTGGACCTCCACCAGAACAAAAAGGTCTTATCTTCACCTGCAGGACCGAAATCTGGACTGGACCTCTGGTCCACCAGTGGTTAGTGATACCTACCCAGGGCTTGAGACATCTTGATAACATATGTGAAGATGACTTCCACATGAGCCTAAATGTCATCTTGATAACCTGTGGGAATATAACTTTCCCATGAATTAAGTACACACATACCTGTAGTGACCCCTAATATCACTTACTACTGGGTACATTGATCACTGACCCCTACCCTCCAAACCTATATGGGGGACTCTGACCCAATATATCACTTATGCTGCAGAGGATGATGACACCTACCTGATACCCCTTATATAACCTCTGATTTTTTTTTTTTTTTTACATTTAGGCGTTAATTTTTTTTTTGCTCCGGTTATTCTCTTCTAAGTAGAAGTGATCGAGTGGCTGAACAGCCACTTGATCACTTCTATGGATGGCGGTACTATACAGAGGCAGAGAAGCCAACGTTGTTCCTCCCTCTCTGTTACCCTGGAAACTGGAAGGTTCTTTTTTACATGGCCTTTAGCAGCCAGGAAAGCAGTCAGTCAGACTAATATGTGTCTGATCTGCTGCATTGAAGCCTAGAGGAGAGATCTGGGGTGTAATAGACCCCAGATCTCTCCATAAAGAGGACCTGTCACGGCCCATAGTATCACAACAGATGCTCCTCATCCCTTGTGATAACGTAATACAAAAGAAATTATAGAGACCGTGAAAAAAAAAAAACTTTTAGATAAAATGATTAAACTGTCCCTATTTCCCCATGCTTACTTGCACATGTGAACGCATATGTAAGCCCTAGACCAAACTTGTGACGTATTGTGAGTGTCAGAGTAAGAGCAAAAATTCTAGTGCCAAACCTCCTGTGTAACTCAACTGGTAACCTGTAAAAGGCATTTAAGGTGTCACCTATGGAGAACTACCACAGTTTGGCGCCATTCCACGGGCATACACAATTTTAAAGTGTGACCTGTTGAGTATCTATTTACTTGGCTTAACACCAAATTTTACATAAAAAATGGGCAGTATATTGTGTTTGTATGCAATAAAATTCATTAAAGTGCTTTGAAAAACCACAAAACATATTGCAACACCCATCATATATACAGTATGTTTGGGGGTTCTAACTAATTTTCTAGCTAACAAAAGGCTGATTTTTACATGTAGGAGAGGAATGTTAGAATCGGCCTGGTAGGCAAATTGTTAATGGAGCATACACCGGAGCTTGATTTGGTTGCTCAGCATTTGTTTGTGCTCAGCACCCGAATGATTCCATGTGCAAGGGCATCCTGAAAGGTTTTTTTTTTTTTTTTTTTGTTTTTTCTTCTATTTTTGTTTTTTCTTCTATTTCTCATTGGAGCCTGCGCCTCATTTGCTTGCTCAATAGATGCCCTTCTGGTGAGCATTAAGAGAGCCTGACACTGCCCCGATCAGTGCTCATCACACTCCAAGGACTCTCCCCTCCCTACTAGTCCTTGGGTGTGGGGAGGAGAGGAGGAAATAAACAGTCCATTGTTAAATGGTTTTGGTTAAAAAATAAATTATAATTTTAATCAAGACCAGTAGATCGAGACCCTGATTTAGTCCCTTGGGCAAGTAGTGTAAAGGCATCCTGAAAGTTCCTTTTTTTTTTTTTTTTTTTTTTTTTACTCATTTGGGCCAGCACCTCATTTAGTTACTCGGCAGATGCACTTCTGGTGAGCGTTAAGAGAGCCTGACACCCCTTTTCCTGACAAGCACCCAATTGTTGCTCGTCACACTACAAGGTCTCTCCCCTCCCTGCTAGTGAGGAAGAGTAGGTAAACTGCGCAATTTTAAAAACATGAAAAGTTTGTCACCATAAAGCCCCTTTCATTTTTTAAAAGGACCAGACATTCCTAAAAGCACATCTGTCTAGTGAAAAAAATTACCCTTCTTGCTGTCAATAAATACCTTATTAAAACATCAACCCTTCTTGCTGTCAATAAATATTTTATTAAAACATCAACCCTTCTTGCTGTCAAATATTTTATTAAAACATCAACCCTTCTTGCTGTCAATAAATACCTTATTTAAATACGGTTTTGGTTAAAATTATCTTTTTTTTTTTTTTTTTTTTTTTTTCACGACAAGCAGATTGTCATAAGGGACAAGTAGATTGCGAAACCGATTTTGGTCCCTTTTGGCAAGTAGTTTTTTGTTTTTTTTTAAATTTCCACACCCCTGTTATCCTTTGTGTCCATGGATACTGTTTTAGGCTAGTAGCATTTTTCATGCTTCAACGTTTAGGAGCAGAAAAAGTCTTTGGGAGCCTTTTTTTCCGACAGTATAAAACTATAAATGCTCCTAATTACTCCTAAAATACTCCTAACAGCTTTTTTCTACTTTTTTTTTTCCATTACATGTACAGTAAAAAACACTAATAAAATGTTATCACTACTAAAATGCTGCAAAAAACAATATTACCAACATTGTTTTTCCAGCTTTTTTTGCTTAAAAAAATTCTAGTGTGCATTGAGCCTAAATATACTTATACTTGTGCATGAGTTTAGATGTCCCCACATAAAGCTGCACAATAATGGCAAGCAGAATTAACTTTATGTAACTAGTGCAGATTACGTGGGGACATCTAAACTCATGCACAAGTATAAGTATATTTAGGCTCAATGCACACTAGAATTTTTTTAAGCAAAAAAAGCTGGAAAAACAATGTTGGTAATATTTTTTTTTAGCAGCATTTTAACTGTGGCAATACATATAAATATGATCCTACTGTCAAATGAGCTTTCTTATAAAACTTCATTCTATAGACGTGAATGTCTTGCAAATTTTTGCGGCAAGACTAAGCAAAATCAGAAGAGCATATTAATAGAATATTAATATTAAAGAATATGTAAACCCAACATTTGATATTCTTGATATGTGCCTGTTGTACCATGTACTTGTGTGAGAAAGTATCTTGGTATATTGTATTGCTCCCTTTTGTGTTAAATCCTTGGTGTTCTTATGAGTCCTGCTTTTCTGTTGAAAGCTGACCACAGTAGGCATGAGAGCACAGCATGGTCAGTTTTCTAGCAGTGTTGAAACTGACCTTTCCTTTTCCAATGATCAGATGTCTGCTGACATGCCCTCTCCTGCACAGCCATTTACTGAAAAGACCACTGTTCTGCTGTTTCTCTTTTCCCAGCTTATGCAATTGAGAACACAGGGTATGTGATCACTTATAAAAAAAAAAAGGTGTTTATAATGTTTTCTATATCTATACAAATGTGTTACCTTTTATTTCTGTTTTAAACAGAATGGATTGTTCAAATATACTTTACAGCGCAGCTTCACCTAAAAGATAGGGGTATATGGTTTTGACAGGTAGCCGCTCCCACTTCCACTCAGACCACCAGTTCTCCTCTCCCCTTCCTTCCCACAGACTTCTGGAACACGTGACAGGTTCCAGAAGACTGCGGGACCATTCACAGTGCGCAGCACAAATCGTGCATGCGCAATGGGCACCCGGCTGTGAAGCCATAAGCTGGCACATTTGGACACCCACAGCTTAGATGCCATTGCCAGGGACCAAAGATGGGTGGAGAAAACGGCTCTGGTGAGCACAGTGCCAGATAGGTTGAGTGTCTGTTTATTAAAAGTCAACAGCTACAATTTTTGTAGCTGCTGACTTTTAATTTTTATGAATATCACTGGAGCTCCTCTTTAAATTGAGGTTTATTTCTGGGGAAGACAATAGCAATATATTGATAAAATGCAGCCCAGATAGTTGATTCTTCTTTGAAGGAGTTTGCAGGATTTTCAGACTGCCCAGAAACATGTAATTTCCTGATGTCGCAGCAACTGAACAGATTAGACATTAATCATTTTATGGTATCCATGTTTGAAAAAATGTACATATTCTCTCATTGTTTTTAACAGAGGGACAGGGATCTGGAACTAGCTGCTCGTATTGGCCAGGCTCTCCTGAAAAGGAACCACATACTGACAGAGCAGAATGAGTCTTTAGAGGAACAGCTGACCCAAGCACTGGACCATGTGAGTTCTTTTCAAAGCATTTAATGTTTGGCTTTTGGTGAGATTCTTCTTCAGCATAGCTGTGCGTTTTTTTTTAGTAAAATAAAAAAATGCTGAAACCGTGTTTACCATACTTTTTAATTACACTACAGTTTACTGATAAGAGCATATCCAGAGTTGCCCATTTTGTCATATTTGAGGTCATATTGCAGTCAGAGAGTCGATTTGTTTCTGCTGATTTTTCCAATTAAATGAATTGGAAAATCTAATGCTAGTTTGTTGACTAGCTTATTGAATTCGAGCACAGTATGATAAGAGGGTACTCATAACCAGTCATATTGAAAGATGGGTACATAAAGTAGTATAATCTGATCTAAAAATCCGTTCATAAGCAAAATAGTCCAAACAGATTTCCTTTTCTTACATTTTTATACTTCCATCTTTATTATTTTTTCTTTTTTGTTATGTAAGCATGACTCTTATGTGACATCCTGTACATACCATAGCTGCCTTTTTTTTTGTAAGATTGCCTTCATTCCACATTTATCATTATTTATTGACCATATTTTATAACTTTATGATAAGCATTATCATGTTTCTTATCGCATACAGTACAAGGCAACATATGATTCAACCTTTCATTCTAAATTATGCAATTTATGTGTGTATGTATTATATATATATATATATATGTGTGTGTGTGTGTATATAAAAGATCTTTTAATTTCTTCATCTCTACAAATTGTCTCTGCTACTGAACATTGTTAGTGACACAAATAAAAAATTGGAAAAAGAGGAATCTATGCAACATCATTCATTCTATTGGTATCTTAACTTTTTAATGCTAGTTACTTACTAGAAGTGTAATGTATTCCCCTCTTAACAGGTAAACCAACTCCAACATGAGTTAGCTAAGAAGGATGACTTGCTTAGGGTGGTATCTATTGCCTCAGAAGAGAGTGAGACTGACTCCAGCTGTTCAACCCCTTTGAGGTCCAATGACTCTTTCACCCTCACACATGGCCTGCTTCAGCTTGATAACTTGCACGGGAAACTTCGAGAACTGGAGGAGGAAAATCTTGCCCTGCGCTCTGCGCTCCCAGGTAATAAAAAACATCTGTTAAAAAATATAAACCAGGATTACTCTTGTTAAATCACAGAAACCTTTTTTTTTTTTTCATGTCAAATTTTTTATTGATTTAAAGCAGTTTTTTTTTGTACATACAAAATAAATGTAGTACAAAAAGAACACAGAAGAGAAAGTCTACAAATAAAATAGACTACAAACCCCAACTTCTTCGACTAGTACAGCCTAACCTTCTACCAAAATACAGGTCAAAATGCCAGATAATTCTACCCCACACCGAAGATCTCAGTCCTATAAATTTATATTAGATCAAGCAGAGAAAAGAAATAACCCAATCCAAGGCCATCCACAAGGAATTGGATACCAGAGTTACAGGTTCTAAACATCATATTACGAAATAACGAACAAGATTTAAAGCCGTTACATAAACCAGTGGGCATTAAAACTAAACAACCAGAGTGAAGGAGCATGTGATTGACTCTAATCAGAGGTGGTTGCTGCTGTAGATGACAGTTTTATGTGAACAGGGCTTCAGGGATTATTGCCAAGTGTGCACCCCTTGGGGATATTCACCCTCTATTTGTCCTTTTTACTGATAAAAGTGAGTGAAAGTGAAAAAAATCTAAAATTTTGGTTTGTCACCAGAACAGGAATAGAGGGGAAATCTTCCAATGGGAACACTAGTTCTGGTGACATTGCTGACAACCAGGGATTAGCTCACTTTGGAGGGTCCTCTTCTCATTTCCTGTTTTGGCTGTGGGACAGCAAGTGAATGGAAATATCCTCAAGGGGACTCTAATGGCAAAAAAGCAAGGCTTATAAACCCTCCTTTTCTGTCCAAAATGGAAAAAAGGTTCTGCTTTAAAACACAGGCAAACCTATTCCTATATATAGAGCAAAATGCAAATGGGTTTCCAATGGATTCGGTCTAAGTTATGGTTTTATTCACACATAAACCTTCCTCTAAATCTGACAAACAAATTTAAATCACATTCTCGGCATGCGTGCCTCTTGGAAGGCATAACCTAGATTTTATAGCTCACTTACAAGTCCAGACTGACAGTCTGTCAGAATTGGCTGTTGTGTGCATTGCTGCTGTAGATGACAGTGTTACTGAACTCAAAGTTTTAGTAGATAGCTTAGCTTCACTGCCGATTTCAACATTTTTAGCTCCCTTGGGGTTCCTGCATTCCTAAATAAAGCTTTTTTTTTTTTTTTTTTTTTCGTCTGGTACTAGACAGTATATTTAGCAGTGCATAACAATGGTTATCCAGCTAGCAAAATGCTTTTATAGTAATCATATTTACTTAATGACAGGTACATACTAAAGGAACATATGCGCGAGGTACAAGGTTATGGCACAGCAGTTAGAGTACTTGCTGGCCCTTGTGGCTTTTTTTTCATTAACACTAGATGTCAAGCAGGTTTTATTTATAAAAGTTTAAGGTGGTTCTAAAGGCAAAAGGTTTTTTAACTTCATGCGTTTTATGCATGAAAGTAAAAAACCTTCCGGCTGCAGCTACCCCCAAGCCCCCCCTTATACTTACCTGAGCCCTATCTCGATCCAGCGATGTGCATGAGAGCTCTCCTGGTTCTCTCTCTCCTCACTGGCTCACACAGCAGCGGGAGCCATTGGCTCCCGCTGCTGTCAATCACAGCCAGTGAGCCAATTAGGAGAGAGCGAGGGAGGGCAGTGTCTATTCACAGGAGTGCGGCTCAGGAGCGAGCCTGCTCGAGTGTCCCCATAGCAAGAGGCTTGCTATTGGGGGTACTCGGCAGGGGGGAGGAGCCAGGACCACCAGCAGGGGGCCCAAAAAGAAGAGGATCCGGGCTGCTCTGTGCAAAACCACTGCACACAGCAGGTAAGTATGACATGTTTGTTATTTTTAAATAATAAATAATTACAACCTTTAGAATCACGTTTATATCTTAGTTTTATTCTAGTATTTTATTTCTGAACAATAACATGGAGTTATTCCTTCTTGTGCTCATTAGGCGTAGTAGATCCAGACTGATTCAGAGGAAAGGGAAGAACATACACAAAGCATGTTTAGTTTATGGGAGCAGTGTGCAAAGAAACAAGTGAAAAACACGAACTTTGTACAAGTGCTTTCAAGACCTGTACATACTAGCGCTGGATATAGTGACTACATATGTACATATATATAATATACATATGTGTAGCTATACTATGCAGTATACATATATGTGACTTCTTTTTAACACACATCCCCGGTGCACAGCCTGCAGCTCGGGGGCTTTTTGGCACTAATTGTGCTGCTGTCTGGGCGGTTGAAGTCAGTAATTTGTGTTTTCTTTTTTTTTCTGAGCTGTTTATCCATTTCTTTCTTTTTAATGTTTTTTTTCCTTTCATTTTTTTATGATGGATCTTGCTGAGAAAAATCTCAAATGTGGCACAAGTAATTTTGAAGGGGCTGTAGTAAGCACTAAAGTGGAAACATTGATGTGTAAAGGGGTTTTAATATCTGTAATCTCTAGCAGTCTCTTGTAACCTAAATTCCTCTAAGTGATTCAGTAGTGCAAAATATCATAAACATAAGTGTAAAAGAGAAAACTCGTACAAGTGAAAAAAGTCCAAGAAAAGTCCTTATTTATCCCAAGATAATTCAGACTCTCCAAATGAAGTCACCACGTGTGCAAATAATGTACTGTCCCCCTCTCGGGTGTGCACTCCCCACATGAACATGCCTCCCATTCTTATGGTTGGCTAAATTGCTAAAAAGATGTTATTCACAAGAAGATCAACTTTCATACTCGATGACAATCGCCTCCTCCAATTCACCACAATCTCCCTTGTTCCAGGGTATCCCAATGGCATAGCACTGTATGCCTGAGCACTATAATGTGACATGTAGTGGCATCTTCTGACCCAAGAACAGATATTGAGCTGTCACTTGGAGTAGTAGCAGCCAATTCCCTTTGATGAATGTACAAACAACCTTTAGGTCCAAATATCTGTAATGGTTGACTGGTTAACTCTTGGGCTCGCTCCTTTATCTTCCCATGCATCTGTATAATCCAGGAAATAGGCTGGCTGACATCGAGCCTCTGACTCCCAATTAAAACCGGCAATCTGTCTCCCATCTATGACGGTCTCCCGTAGCATGTCCCTAGTTTCCATCAACACCTACAGTCTGTCTGCAGTCTCTGACCGTATCCTTTAGCATGTCTGCAGTCTCTGAGACCCTTCTGTAGCATTAACAGTGTGTGTTACAGTAACCTGTTACATGTTATACCCTGAATATGGGTGTAACATATTATGAAAGGTGAACTTCTATCCCTGACACTGACTTAGAGCTGGTTCACATGAGATGCAGTCCAGTGTGTTTTTAATCTGCATCAGAAATGCATGCACAGTGTTTTCCTTGTATTCCAAAGGCATAGTTCACACTAGTTCAGTGTATTCCAGTGTATTCAACAATAGGAGAACATCCGGCATTTTTTTTCTGTATGGAATGTGGCAAGTCACGCACTGGAACACAAATGTCCTATATTGAGATGAAGAAAAAAAAAGGGGGGGGGGGGGGGGGGGGGAAACACATCTGGAAAGCAGAAATAGCGGTGTGAACTGGCCCTTAAAGCAGATCTAAAGTCTCAGAAGGGCCTTGGTTATTCACAACTCTTCTGTTTGGATATGCTCATCCGATAGTATACTCACATAAAACCGACTCCAGCTGCAGTGCCCAGTGAATGCTGGCATCATACCAGGATTGTATTAAATGACAGGGTTTGGGCTTTTTTTTCTCAAATTAGGCATAGATTGAGCTCCTTTTTACACTTTTTTCAAGGGGAGACAAAAACAGGTAACTGGTCTCTGCACTGTATTGTTATCTTGGGCATTTTAGGATAGGTCAGGTTAATTGTAATCCCTGGAATGCCATATTCACTTTATTAGGCATCAGAGCTAAAAGTACCTCGAGTCAGAGGTTGGCGCCAGAACTAGCGATTCGTGTGTACTGCTGTTCCATTTATTCAGAACTCTGGCCAGGTAGCTAAATGGTGTATTTGAATTTCATGTTTGTAAATTGTTTCCCTTACTGAAAATGTTAATACTGACCACATGTTGTGATTTACCCACATCTGCCACACTGTGTCACCAGGTGTTTATATTCTGTGGTTTGTGTCGCCTCCTATTCTCCAGCCTTTCATTGCCCTTCACTACTATGCAAGGTCAGCTTATAATGTATGGGCCCCTTCTCCTATAAGCATCACCTTCTGAAAGTATGTGCAAAATGTGCCTTTTAGATCTTTTGATATGTATTTGGGTGATCCCCATCTTCTGCACTGCTGGGCATACAATTACCATCCTTTCTGGAAGATTTCTGAGGAATGCAGAGTAGGCCAAATCTTAGTTGACACTCCAGCCAATTACAGCAGCACCTTCTCGTGAGATTTTGGCTGCTCTATATCGCACAGGATCTCTCTGGATGCAGTGTGACTTCACCCTCGCCTCACAGGCCTAAGCGTCATTTTTCTCTAAGCGTCACAGGCAGGAGATGGGGTCAGGGTAAGTATAGTAGATACATTTTTCTTTCTTCACAAATTTTTTGCACATACTTTTAGCAGGTGTGTTTTTTGTTTTTTTTTTCTTTTCTTTTTTTAAGGAGGGGTTCTGGACATTCTAAGCAGATATTTCATCGTACTTCAAGGTCTGTAGCAAGTTTATTTGGCCTAGATTTTCCTTTTTACCATAAAAAACATTTCAGATATCTAGACCAATAATATGGGTGTATTTGGTTATTGATGTAAAATTTGGCACAAGATATGCTGGTTTGCCTGTCATTAAATCTGCATTCTTTTGATCTTTTTTTTTAAAAATATATGTGAATCAGCATTAATTGTTAATCTAAAACTACAGGTTAAAGTTCTGCTAAATAAAGTTCAGCTAGGTCACCGTTATTTACATAGTTGCCTCCGTCATAAAATTTCTGGTGTGATTTATGACAGCCAGATTTAACACATACTTCCATAGAATAATCTTAATGTTCTTTATCTAGCTGATTTCATAGGAATTTGACATGTGATTTGACCTTGATCTCTGAATGAAAATAATATGAAACCCCTACTACAGCCTCTCAATAAAGGGGACACATGGAAAACTTTCTTTTCATATTATAATCTAGAATAAAAATTAAGAAAAATCCTAAAATATATATTTTTTAGTGAATTTCCAGTAAATGTTTACCCAGGGATCAATGTTAGCTTGCATTGCGTGTATACCAGCTAGTGACTATGCTATCTCAACTATATATTGTTTTTAGGGCCTATTCATACCTATCAGTTGTCATTTATTAAATGAATGGCACCACAGTGTGGGCAGGTTGCATTGTGATTCCATTTATTCTCAATAACACCACCATGCACTAAGGCAACATACCTTCAACATGCATTTTAGCGCGCTGCATCTAAAGAACTGGGGCTTGAAAGTTTCTTGGTCTGTTTTGGTGCTTTTGAAAGCTCAGTGAAATGATAGGCTACAACGAAAATAATGTGTGACAGAACCCACATGCTTTATCACGTCACAGTGGATTGACTAGGTGGTGTTACGCTGCAGGGACATCCGAGTATTGAGGCGTGGAATGTTAACTAGTGTGAATGGGCCGCCAGTACACCAAAATGGCAAGCCAGATTTTTTTCTGATGTCAGCACATCAAAATGGACAGCCCCATTTTCTCTATTGCAGCAAACCATTGCCATGTGTTGTGCTGTGCAATGTACATGTATGAAATATGTACTTCCTTAGTACCCTGGGGTGCAATAAAGCAAAGCATTAGCACGACGCACCATATACTCACTGCGACCGAAATGTGTGTATGGGCACTTAGTCATTTGTCAGATAAAGTTTGAGAAACACCTACTGGTCTAAGTTGACATTCACATTTTTCTGTTGTCTTAAGGCTACACATCTGAAAACAGAAACAATAACTTATGAAGAAAAAGAACAGCAACTGGTCATCGACTGTGTGAAGGAGATTCGTAAGTGTTAAAAAGTACTTAATTATTTAGGTTTTTATAAATGGAAAAGTATTTCCTTCTAGGATAATTTCTTAGCAAAGCCCGGACAGTATAGGGAGCTGTGGTGGGCAAGATTAAGGTTAGTCCACCAAAAATGATTTTAAATGATGGCTCGATTTTGTTAGTCTGAATTACTCTGGCTTCATATATATTGTGGGGGGTTGCCACTTAGATCTGTGTCAATCTGCTCCTGTGTTGTGCTCTTAATATAAAAGAGATGAGAAGTCTACCAAGTTGTAGACCACCCACTTTCTCTTTGTAGCAGGTGGCAGACATGGGAACCAGCTACATCTCATGGATTTTTCTGGCTCATTCACACCACATGCTCAGTTTTAGCTTTCATGCTGTTGTCAGTTCAGGGGCAGCAAGGTTGCAGCATAATGCATGTTTCATCACACTGCACATGTACCTTCATACATGTCGACAGTTCACCTCACCGCACCTCTCGGCTGGTGTTGCAGTGTAAACGTGGCACATAGAAAACAATGGTTTTCTATGTGCCCTTGAAATGACTTGTGTCAGTCCAGTGTGGAAAAATGCATGTCACCGCACTATGTGTTCCCTAGTGTTGCACTTTGGCACGCATTCCTTCTCTCTTCCTAAAGTAATGGTAATCTGAAAACTACTGCCCCCTCTGCTGAAGGTAGTGTCCTAGGGTTCTGTTTAAGCCCTTTTGCACACTTGATGTTTTTACAGCTGCTGTTTTTGGCGTTTGACGGTTTTTTTCTACAGTCAATGAACTCCCCAGCATGTTATCCTTTGTGTCCATGCACACATAGGCTGTAATCTACGCTTTTTAGCTGAAAAAAACCCCCTAAACTTGTGGGTTTCTAGAGGAGATTTTCAGCTGTAAAAACGCTCTAACACTGACAAACGCGTAAAGCGCTGCAAACCAGTCAAAAAGAACCGCTAAAAAATGGAAACGTGGGAAAACGCTACTAATCGCAACAAAATGCTGCTAAACACTAATGCAAAAACACTGAAAAAAAAAAAACTCACGTTTGTAATGTGACTTTACACAGCTAACGTTACCAGCGTTGTCAAAACGTCAAGTGTGCATGGAGGCTTATACCGGATGATTGTGGCTGGTGTATGAATTGTAGTAATCATTGAGCACCTTCACAGCCTTGTTTTGGTCTACTGGTATCAGTAGAGATGAACCTGACATCCTCTGAACCCATCTCTATCCTGAACTCAAAACTCACAATTGATCTGCAGGGTAGTCTGAAATTCAGGTAGAGATGAGTTTAGAGGACTCATGAGCCCATCTCTACTCATCCACCCTGTATATCTCTCAGGTTGAGCAAGCAGATTGCCTGTCTAGTGGGGAAAGAGGGTTCTTAATGGGCAGCTAATGCTCCCTGTAAGAACAGTATAGTTAAGTGTAAATGTACATCAACAACAAATTAGTGGCTGTCCCTTTTTTAATGATGGTCTATGTAAAGTGTAACTTTGGCCAGCCTATTGACATTCTAGTTTTTACATATCCTTCACGTTACATGAGTGTTAAAAACAAACCCTCACTAACTTCTAGCTGCTTGCACTGTGGAACAAATAACCAACAAAGTTCAAAGCCAAAGCACTGAAGTCATTTTAGTGGGCTCTCTCACCAACCTCATTAACCATTTCCTTCCTCCCTAGAGCACCTGTTGAGATTAGAGAATTACTGCTTGTTAAGACTGTGTAAATAATTCAATATCCATAGGCCAGCCATAGTTATAGTAAGACTGATTTGCTGAAATTGACTATTCAGATATCTTTCATACCATAGGGTATAGAAAAGAAATAATTAAACTGGAATTTTTTGTTAACCTTTTTATATTTCTTGTAGAGCTATTTAGTAGATTGGAAACTATAGGTGAACAGACATCTTTAAATGTTGAACTGGCTGTCATTACAGGTGAATCAAATGCCCAGATTAGCAGACTCACTGACGAGCTTTCCACAAAGTCAGAGGAGATCATACATTACCAGGAGCAGGCCTCTACTTTGCTGTTACAAATTGTTGACCTGCAGCACAAACTGAAAGAGGTATATGTGTTGGCATGCTTTTAGCATTTATCCCATTAAATTAGCCTGACTAGGAGTGCCATTAGAATAACTACACTGGATAGTTACCAGTGACATAAGATGGACACCAAGAAATGTTTTCTTTTGGGAAGGATTGTGAAAAGATCTGCTTAATAATTAACTGTTCAGTTCCACAATGTCTCTGGGATGCGTCGAGCCCACCTTATTGACTTTTTATGCAAAAACATCTAAATGATTTGCATTCTATTTTTCTTTGATTTAGAGGAAAGTTGGTGTCAGAGCTCCACTCTCAGAGCTACCATGAGATATTGTTAGGTTTCAGTTTTCCATTATTTTAAAAAAGCCAGCTTTGAAATTATTTACCTATAATAAATCTCTGGAATGTTTTCAAATATCTTGCACATCGACCCCCTGGTTAATGCACAATTGGGCTAAAATATTGAAAAAATATTTAAGTATATGTAAAATATATATCCCCTCATGCTTTACTCAACAGAGTGCAATCGAAAAGGAGGAGCTAAGAATTCATTTACAAGCATCTAAGGAAGCACAGAGACAGTTGACTGCTGAAGTAAGTTATTGTGACTTTATTTCCAACTAATTTTATTTTCTTGAAAGTTTCTTGGTTACTTTTAGTTTGCTTTTGTTTTTTGTGCCTACGTTGCTGTCCCAATAGCCCCAGTATTACAATAAGGAAAAGAGTTGCTTATTTTCTCACAGGTCCCTGTAAATTATTTGATTTTGCAAGGGAAATTGGGTAACACTCTTAACCAAAGCAAATATAATGAGAGAAAATTTACGAAAATCCAGAGCAGCTGGAATCTAGAGCAGCTCTGCATGGCATCCAGTCATCTTCTATCTTTCATTGTCAAAGTTTAACTGAACAATATAACGTTAATAGCTGATTGCGCAAATTGATTTTTTTTTTAACCACTTCAAGTCCGGACACTTTTACCCCCTTCCTATCCAGGCCAATTTTCAGCTTTCAGCGCTGTCACACTTTGAATGACAATTGCGCGGTCATGCAACACTGTACCCATATGAGTTTTTTTAGCATTTTTTTGAGACAGATAAAACTTTATTTTGTTGGTATTTATTCACCACTGGGATTTTTATTTTTTTTTTTGCTATATAAATGAAAAAGTCCAAACATTTTGAAAAAAAGTGTTTTTCTTATAAAATTTTGCAAATAAATAATCTTTCATCATAAATCTTGGCCAATATGTATTCAGCTATCTTTTAGTAAAAAAGAAATAACCCAAATGAATTTATAACCAAAAATTATAATTTTTTATTTTTAACATTTTTATTTAATTTTTTAATATAATTTTTTTTTTTTAACATACTGTCACCCTAGCAGTACAATGTCACCATAGTGATACTGTACTACTTGTGGGGGGCAATGAAGATTTTTTTGTGTTTTTACACTGATTGCTTTTACACCCATAATGGCTGTAAAAGCAATAATTTCTCTTTCTCTCTGGCTGCATGAGAAATACTGTGAGAGCTGTGGTTGGTCACAGCTTGTCACATGGTACAAGGCTGTTGTGAATAGCCTTGTACCATGTGATCTCCGTGATCATTCACTGATTTCACAAGCAGGGAAGCAATGATGTCAGAAGTGACATCTTGCGTACTACTATTCATATGATCACTGATTGGCCAATCAGTGATCACATGATCAGGACCTCACACAGAGGTCCCGTACAGCGATCAGATAGCGGTGCCGCACGCTCCCAGGGAGCATGCACAGGCTAAAATGGTGGGCGCTGTTTATGAACAATAACCCGCTCCTGCACTACTCCCGTCTGGCCGTTTTTATATACATGGGCCAGATAGGAAGTGGTTAAAGTAACAAGCATGTTATACTTGCTCTGTGCAATGGCTTTGCACAGAGCAGTCCCTATCCTCTTCTTTTTGGGTTCCATGGCGGCAGTCCTGACTCCACCTCCCTGCTGGCTCACTGTCTGTGATTGACAGCAGCAGGAGCCAATGGCTTCAGCTGCTGTGTGAGACAGTGAGGACAGAGAGACCCAGGAGAACCACTGCTCTCATGCACATCCCCAGTTTGGGATGGGGCTCAGATAAGTATAAGGGAGGGGGGGGGGCTGAGGGGCTGCACCCAGAAGGTTATTTACCTCAATGCATATAATACATTAAGGTAAAAAACCTTGAGCCTTTAGAACCACTTTAACGCCTTCATTCCGGCACCTCTTAACCCTTTCAGGGGTTTATATTTCATATTCAAGCTATAGATATATAGTCGATATGGGCTGAAAGTGCACACTCTCAGGTTTTATTTGAAGGTATGTACATCCAAATTGGAGGAAGGGTTTAGGAATTACAGCTCTTAAGAGTAGCCATACCCCCTTTTTCAAAGGGCCAAAAGTATTTGGACTATTGAATCAAAAGCTGTTCCATGGCCAGGTGTGGGCTACTCTTTCGTTATTTCTTCATCAGTTAAGCAGGTAAAAGGTCTGAAGTTGATTCTAAGTTGGTATTTGCATTTGTAATCTATTGCTGTGAACCTACATCATGCGTTCAAAGGAGCTGTCCATGTAAGTGAAACAGTCCATTGTAAGGCTTCAAAAACAAAACAAATCCATCAGAGATAGCAGCAACATTAGTAGTGGCCAAATCAACAGTTTGGTACATTCTGAAGAAAGAAGAACGCACTGGTGAGCTCAGCAACATAAATAGACATGGACGTCCACAGAAGACAACAGTGGTGGATGATCGCAGGATCCTCTCTATTGTAAAAAGAAAAATCTATTCACAACATCCAGACAAGTGAAGGACACTGTCCAGGAGATGGGCGTATCATTGTCAAAGTCTACAATTAAGAGACGACTTCATGAGAGCAAATACAGACGGTTCACCACAAGGTGCAATCCATTTATAAGCCTGAAGAATAGAAAAGCCAGATTAAATTTTGCCAAAAAAAATCTAAAAAATCCAGACCAGTTCTGGAAAAGCATTCTTTGGATGGATGAAACTAAGATTAATTTGTACCAGAATGACGGGAAGAAAAAAGTGTGAAGAAGTCTTGGAACAGCTCATGATCCAAAGCACACAACGTCATCTGTAAAACATGGTAGAGGCAGTGTGATGGCATGGGCATGCATGGCTTCCAGTGGCACTGGGTCATTGGTGTTTATTGATGATGTGACAGAATACAGAAGCAGCCAGATGAATTCAGTGTTTAGAGATATACTGTCAGCTCAGATTCAGCCAAATGCAGCAAAGTTGATTGGACGGCGCTTCACAATACAGATGGACAATGATCCAAAACACAGTGCAAAAGCAACCCAGGAGCTTCTGAAGGAAAAGCCGTGGAATATTCTACAATGGCCGAGTCAATCACCTAATCTCAACCCAATTGAGCATGCATTTCACTTGCTGAAGGCAGAACTAAAGGCAGAAAGACCCCAGAACAACCGAAGACAGGTGCAGTTAGAGCCTGGAAAAGCATCAGAAAGGAGCAAACGCAGTCTTTGCTAATGTCCATGGGTTCCAGACTTCAGACAGTCATTGCCAGTAAAGGATTCTCAACAAAATATTAAAAATTAACATTTTATTTATGATTATATTCATTTGTCCAATTACATTTGAGCCCCTGAAAATGGAGGGTATATAAATATAGTTGTAATTCCTAAAATTTGTACTTGATATTTATTTTCAACCCCTTGAATTGGCTGAAAGTCTGCACTTCAAATTAATTTGGATTGTTTGGACCTAACTGTAGCTAAAAAGGGGGGAGGGGTGCGACAAAGAGATGTAGGCACACGGCACATTATTTTTGTACCCCTCCTGGGGGTCTGCTCAAGTCTTAGCTTGCAAACAAAAATCCTCTGACAAACCAGAATGCTTAGTTGTTGGGATAAGAGTCATAGCTTCACCCTAGAGAGGTGATGTATTTACCAAAAATTCAAGATTGTTTGACAAAAATTATTTTAGTGAAATATTTTAAATGGGGCTATATTATGACAATTTTCCAGTAGTACAAACTTTATTAGTGCAGGTAATTTTGTCTCTTAATATTTTATGGTTTCATGTACTTAAAGAATATTTTTTTTTTCCTCCCTGTTTAATCTTCCTTTTTTTGGGTTCATTGGCAGTATAAGCACCATTGGGTACATGTCTTACTTATAAGAGAAGATCCTCTTTTAGTCAGTGATTAGTTCCCAGAGTTCTGTATCCTGCAATGAATGCAAGAAAAAAAAATGTAGTTTGAATAACTATGTAGCTTTTCCTTACAGCTTCACGAATTACAAGATCGCAATGCAGAATGTCAGGGGATACTGCAGGAGACTCAGGATGAATTAAAAATGCTGCGGTGCAAAGCCAGTCCTTCTGCACTTCTTAGGAGACCCCAGTCATGCAGTGTTTTCCCTGTGGTAAGATCACTTTACTGCTAAACAGCACCCCACTTATCTACGAAGATCATAGATACAGTAAAATGTATCCTAATTTGTATATGCTTTATTAACTGAATTTGTTCTTTTAACCTAAAGTAATTTTCCTATTTATCATTCAGTAATTAACAAAATATCCCATAGGTGTGCAATTGGTAACGTGTATCTCTAGCCAATTCTTTTTTGGATAGAGTACAGAAGGATTCAAACTTCTGTCATTTTGTTTCTGCTTTCCGGGCCTCTGTTAGAGAGATTTCCCCTCACTTACTGTCACAGTAGTTTCACAAGAAGGAAAGTGAGGGAAAATCTGCAACTGTGACTCAAACAGCAATAAAAAGCTGAGAGGTGTTCTGGCCTTCTCATATTTTATAGAAAATACATTTTATTTGATGGAGACTTTGCCTCACTTTCTGTTTGGTAAAACTGTTGTCATATTCTGATGTATATTCTTTTCTGTTAGGATTCTTTGGCAGCAGAGATTGAAGGTACTATGCGGAGAGAACTGAGTTTGGAAGAAGATTCAAACTTTGGAGAAAGAAAGTAAGACATTTTCTGATTAACCCATTATATCTCATAACAATATTAGAGAACAGTGTGATACTTGTGCAGTTAAAAATCCAGGTATTTAGTAAGTAAGCCACTGTTCATTATCAATAATACACATATCAGAAACAAAAAGGCAGAAACGGGTGGCCCTAGACAGTTTGTTTTTTGCAGACACTGTGCTGGGAGTATAGGTGGGGAGCTAGGTCCTTGACCCTGAATCCCATGTCAAAATAAAAGATAAAAACATACTGAGAAATGCTTGGTCAGAAAATGGAAGATGCCATGTTAAATAGAGATGAGCGAATCGAACTTGGCGAAGTGGAATTCGTTTCGAAGATTAGGAAAAAATTTGCGCCGAATCCGAAAATTAGCAGACTTCGGATGCGTGAATCGAAATTTTCCAAAAATGGCGGCGACATGTGTAGCGACGGAGCGGGGATCTCTGGGAAGGCGCGCAGACAAGGCGCGCTGACCCATAATGCATTCATTCATGACATGTGATCGCATTAGCCAATCAGCAGCCAGCCAGCACTGTGTAATGGTCGAGCTATAAATTGCGGCCATCTTAGAATTCTCCATTAGCCTCCGGTCATTCAAGAGAGACAGACCTCTCTGTATTAGGGACAGAGTTAGGGCCAAAGAGACTTTAGGGCCACAGAATTGTTACTCAGGGACACAGAATTGTTACTCAGGGACACAGAACTGTTACTCAGGGACAGACACAGAATTGTTACTGAGGGACACAGAATTGTTACTGAGGGACACAGAATTGTTACTGAGGGACACAGAATTGTTACTGAGGGACACAGAATTGTTACTGAGGGACACAGAATTGTTACTGAGGGACACAGAATTGTTACTCAGGGACACAGAATTGTTACTGAGGGACACAGAATTGTTACTCAGGGACAGACACAGAATTGTTACTGAGGGACACAGAATTGTTACTGAGGGACACAGAATTGTTACTGAGGGACAGACACAGAATTGTTACTGAGGGACAGACACAGAATTGTTACTGAGGGACACAGAATTGTTACTGAGGGACACAGAATTGTTACTGAGGGACACAGAATTGTTACTGAGGGACACAGAATTGTTACTGAGGGACACAGAATTGTTACTGAGGGACACAGAATTGTTACTGAGGGACACAGAATTGTTACTGAGGGACACAGAATTGTTACTGAGGGACACAGAATTGTTACTGAGGGACAGACACAGAATTGTTACTGAGGGACACAGAATTGTTACTAGGGACACAGAATTGTTACTGAGGGACACAGAACTGTTACTCAGGGACACAGAACTGTTACTCAGGGACACAGAACTGTTACTCAGGGACACAGAACTGTTACTCAGGGACACAGAATTGTTACTCAGGGACAGACACAGAATTGTTACTGAGGGACACAGAATTGTTACTGAGGGACACAGAATTGTTACTGAGGGACACAGAATTGTTACTGAGGGACACAGAATTGTGTTACTGAGGGACACAGAACTGTTACTCAGGGACACAGAACTGTTACTCAGGGACACAGAACTGTTACTCAGGGACACAGAACTGTTACTCAGGGACACAGAACTGTTACTCAGGGACACAGAACTGTTACTCAGGGACACAGAACTGTTACTCAGGGACAGACACAGAACTGTTACTCAGGGACACAGAATTGTTACTGAGGGACACAGAATTGTTACTGAGGGACACAGAATTGTTACTGAGGGACACAGAATTGTTACTGAGGGACACAGAATTGTTACTGAGGGACACAGAATTGTTACTGAGGGACACAGAATTGTTACTGAGGGACACAGAACTGTTACTGAGGGACACAGAACTGTTACTGAGGGACACAGAACTGTTACTCAGGGACACAGAACTGTTACTCAGGGACACAGAACTGTTACTCAGGGACACAGAACTGTTACTCAGGGACACAGAATTGTTACTCAGGGACAGACACAGAATTGTTACTGAGGGACACAGAATTGTTACTGAGGGACACAGAATTGTTACTGAGGGACACAGAATTGTTACTGAGGGACACAGAATTGTTACTCAGGGACACAGAACTGTTACTCAGGGACACAGAACTGTTACTCAGGGACACAGAACTGTTACTCAGGGACACAGAACTGTTACTCAGGGACACAGAACTGTTACTCAGGGACACAGAACTGTTACTCAGGGACACAGAACTGTTACTCAGGGACAGACACAGAATTGTTACTGAGGGACACAGAATTGTTACTGAGGGACACAGAATTGTTACTGAGGGACACAGAATTGTTACTGAGGGACACAGAATTGTTACTGAGGGACACAGAATTGTTACTGAGGGACACAGAATTGTTACTGAGGGACACAGAATTGTTACTGAGGGACACAGAATTGTTACTGAGGGACACAGAATTGTTACTCAGGGACACAGAATTGTTACTCAGGGACACAGAATTGTTACTCAGGGACAGGACACAGAATTGTTACTCAGGGACAGACACAGAACTGTTACTCAGGGACAGACACAGAACTGTTACTCAGGGACAGACACAGAACTGTTACTCAGGGACAGACACAGAACTGTTACTCAGGACAGACAGACACAGAACTGTTACTCAGGGACAGACACAGAACTGTTACTCAGGGACAGAGACACAGAATTGTTACTGAGGGACACAGAAACTGTTACTGAGGGACACAGACTGTTACTGAGGGACACAGAACTGTTACTGAGGGACACAGAACTGTTACTGAGGGACACAGAACTGTTACTGAGGGACACAGAACTGTTACTGAGGGACACAGAACTGTTACTCAGGGACACAGAACTGTTACTCAGGACACAGAACTGTTACTGAGGGACACAGAACTGTTACTGAGGGACACAGAACTGTTACTGAGGGACACAGAACTGTTACTGAGGGACACAGAACTGTTACTGAGGGACACAGAACTGTTACTGAGGGACACAGAACTGTTACTGAGGGGACACAGAACTGTTACTCAGGGACACAGAACTGTTACTCAGGGACACAGAACTGTTACTCAGGGACACAGAACTGTTACTCAGGGACACAGAACTGTTACTCAGGGACACAGAATCGTTGAATTAAAGAGAGTATGTCAGACAACACGCAGAGGAGTGGCAGAGGAGGCAATGTTTCAGGAGCGAGCAGACGTGGCAGCAGAGGAAGGGGTCGAGGCAGCACTAGTCGCAGCCAGAGGCCAGTGCTCCCGGTGTCATCCAGCGGTCGTGTCTCCACCGACAACCCTGCCGTCATCGATTGGTTGGCTCGGTCGTCTTCCTCTTCCCAGGTCACCTCTGACACCTACAGCCAACGGTCGGTGGGTACGTCAGACACAACCGTTAGTTGACATGGCCCGGGAGCAAGCCCACTGAAATCACGTGTCCTCTACCTGCCCCTGTCCTTTGGTGTTCCCTCACCAAGCAAAGTATCGCATGCTGTGGGCTCAGCCCCACTGTACAGTGAGGAAGAGCTAACAGAGGGCGGTCAGGAACGGGGGGAGACATCCGCCTCTTCAGCAGCCAGGCGAAGAAGTACTGGCGAGGAGAGTGGCTCGGTAGCCGGTCTAGAGACAGGTCTGTCTCCTGACCCACACGCAGCCGAGGGGGCTAGTAGTGAGGCGGAGACCCTAATTGATGATGATGAGGCTGATCGCACTTGGCAGCCTCGTCGTCATCAGGCTATTGCTTCCGCATCATCAGGAGAAGAGGGTGCCAGCTTAGCAGCGAGCAAAACAGTCGGTGGGTTGCCCAGGAGGCAGCAGGGTCGCAGCAGTGTCAGTGGAGGCAAACGGCCACGGAGTAGAGCACCAGCTCCACTGCAGCCTACCACCACGGCCAGTAGTGGTGCCGGTGTGCACGGAGGAAAAAGCAGTCAGCCAGTGAGGAGTAGCGGGGGCAAAGTTTCCTACTCGGCGGTGTGGCAATTTTTCGTCAAGCCGTCCGAGGAAGTAAACGTAGCCGTATGTCGACTATGTGGCCAGAAAGTCAAGCGTGGCCAGAGGGCCCATGTCTCCATCGCCACACTCTGCCATGTGCCACTTTCAGGTCTCCTCACACTGCTGGTGGGTTCCATTTTGTCATAGGGTGCTGGCAGATTACGGGCCTCCCATTGCTGCTGCCAGGCCCGTAATCTGCCATGGGCCCCCTGTACCGCCTCCTCATGCTGCTGCCAGGTCCAGAGTGTGTCATGGGTCCCTGTACGGCCTCCCATTGCTGCTGTCTCCATCGCCACACTCTGCCATGTGCCACTTTCAGGTCTCCTCACACTGCTGGTGGGTTCCATTTTGTCATAGGGTGCTGGCAGATTACGGGCCTCCCATTGCTGCTGCCAGGCCCGTAATCTGCCATGGGCCCCCGTACCGCCTCCTCATGCTGCTGCCAGGTCCAGAGTGTCTCATGGGTTCCCTGTACGGCCTCCCATTGCTGCTGTCTCCATCGCCACACTCTGCCATGTGCCACTTTCAGGTCTCCTCACACTGCTGGTGGGTTCCATTTTGTCATAGGGTGCTGGCAGATTACGGGCCTCCCATTGCTGCTGCCAGGCCCGTAATCTGCCATGGGCCCCCGTACCAACTCCTCATGCTGCTGCCAGGTCCCCATGGGTCCCTGTACGGCCTCTCCCATTGCTGCTGCCATGGGCCACACCATGTACTTTCAGGATCCTCACACTGCTGGTGGGTTCCATTTTGTCATAGGGTCTGGCAGATTACGGCCTCCCATTGCTGTGCCAGGCCCGTCTGCCATGGGCCCCCTGTCCTCATGCTGCTGCCAGGCCCATCTGCCATGGGCCCCCGTACCGCTCATGCTGCTGCCAGGTGTCTCATGGGTCCCTGTACGGCCTCCCATGCTGCTGTCTCCATCGCCACACTCTGCCATGTGCCACTTTCAGGTCTCCTCACACTGCTGGTGGGTTCCATTTTGTCATAGGGTGCTGTATGGCCTCCGATTGCTGCTGCCTCCACCGCCACACTGTGGCTCCACACTCTGGTTTTGGCCCCGTGACTGCCCAAATGAGTGAAGTGTGCGGTGATTCTAAGATCGACGGCACTCATCTGCATGTCATACTGACTGACAGTATTATTTCTCTTCCCCAGCAGACTCCAAGGGCATTTAAATTAAAGGTACAGTGTTCTGCACTAATATAAAGGCTCTCTGAAGCCTAGAAACACCCTTTTTATAAGTTAAATTCGCAGCGAATATATTCGCCTCGAATCGAATTTATTCCTCGAATTCGCCGAATAAGCCGAATCGAATTTTTGAATACTTCGCTCATCTCTAATGTTAAACAGAAAATGTTCATGATGTAAATATTACACGGACTGTAGCCTTTTTTTATGCACAAGCTTACAGCACTCAGTGGTCAGAAGTATGTACAGTGTCTCTTACATTGCTGATTGGCAAGTGCAGAAATCAGTTCTATATTTGCTGTCCTTGTGCATAAAAATAAACCATTGTTGCCAACATCTGAACAGAATTAGGAGCAACACTTTAAAGCAGGGATGGGCAATTAATTTTCTAAGGGGCCACATGAGAAACTGGGACTGTTGTGGAGGGCTGGACTAAAGTTTAGTGTATAATAAAGAAACTATTTTGAATAAACCAGCTTTCTTAGGTGAACAACACTGGACTGGGAAGGTCCTTCACCCCTTAACACCAGCGCCTCTTAGCCTTCAGGAGGCTTCTGATTCCAGGAGGCAAGACAGGGTTTCTGATCATGTGATCACTGTGATTGGCTGTCACATGTTCGGAAAGCTCTGTGTCGCAAGTAGAGATAGCGAGCCTTTCATTAGCCGTCGTTAACTGTGTCAGGTACATGCTCTCGGCACAGCTCTGTTTACATTATGGTCCGCATATATGCGGCCTTTCAGTGTTCAGGCCCACCCGCTGAGAGGCCGGATATATGTCTACAGCCGGCGGCAACAGGTTAAGTATGTAAACCTAAAGAACAAACACCTGGAGCTAGGAATAATAAGTACAACTGCTCATGAAATAGTATGCATACTCTTGATTATTAGAGGGAGTAATGTCCACTGATGATCTTCTGGTCACAATGTTGGTGTAGGGTAGACTGGTAAAAGCAGTGAGGGAGCTGACTGGCACAGTGGTTAATTAACTGATCTGCCATTCTGAATGCCAATGTGTGACTGACAGGGCTTCGGGAGATAGCTGGCAGTGGCAGAGCTACAAGCACTGTGACTGGAAGGAGAGGATCTGAGATTGTTAGAGGAATTCTGCAGATCCTGACCTGGAGTGAAGAACAGATGCATGGCTCCTGGGGTTTGCAGTTTGCAGGCACTAACACAGGAAGAATTTGGCTGGATAGCGGGAGAGCGTTGGCAGTCTCCTAGGCAATGCTCTAATGCCAGAACTGCGCCTCCCTGCTCATCCTTTATTTTCAGCTCTACAGCTGTCCACACGGACACCTGTCAGCATGAATCTCTGCGTTCAGCTTCCTCAGAGAGGAATGCTGACAGTGGAGGCATCACAGACTGGATAGAGAAAGCCAAAGAGCTGCATGTGGCCCTGCCCACGTCTGGACAAGTAGTAAGCACTAGCTATAACTCTCAGAATTGGTACTTAGTAGGACAGGAAATCACTGTGCCTGATAGAGCAATGCAGCATCATTGAAGGCAGTGTGCTGGAACGCATAGCTTTCCTTGCACTTTTTGTTTGTGGAGGCAGCAGGGACCCACTGGATTATCCTATGGCCCTCTGGAGGTTCAGCCCCAGCCTGATGGTAGCCGCCGGAAGTGCTTTAGGAGTGTTTGATGAAATTTTGGGGGTGCTATAGCACTTCCAAGCACCCCCCTGGTACTGCTCCTGTGCAAAAAGCAGAAAATTCCATTTCTTGTATATGTTAGTTTAAGAGTATTTTTTATTTTATTCCACATACCTTCTTAATTTTTTTTTAAGTATTTTTTATAGCTTTTAAAAAGGTTCCAATGCTGTTTCACGGATTGTTTTAGGAGCAGATATAAATACCTCTTGTAAGATCTTTTTGTCGGAATGTCTGAAAAACCTTCAACCATTTTTGATGAACCCTTTGTCCATTCTGTGTATTCATACATCAATGTTTTCTGCATTCAATCTGCACCTTTTTCTAGTGTGTTGGAATATAGCAAGTAAGTAGGAATTATTGCACTCTCCACTAGAGTAACTTATAGGCAAGTGTTAAACAATAAGTGCTGATCATATGACGTTAGTTTATGTCTGTTTTATGGAGATAGTATAGATTTCTACAGCTGTTGAAGGTCACCAAAATAAGTTAGCTGGCTAAAATATTTTACTATCCTGGGCCTCACAAAATTAGGAGACAATTCCATGTTTTCTTTTTTTTATTGATCGCTCATGCAGAAAATAAATTTGACTTTTTCTTGTTAGGAGGCAACCAAAACGGGTGTTTGATACAGTGAAAGTGGCGAATGAACTGCGCTGCCGATCTTCTGTTGCATCGATACCTGGCTCCAACCGTTCTGGAGTAGTGATGACTGCCCTTCCTTTTGAATCTGGGGCAAAGTTTGAGCAGAACAAGCCTAATGTCTATCCAACTGAACAAGGCACAAAGGAGAAGTAAGTGAGAAACAAAGTGTTAAGTTATTTCTGTGCCTGTATGATGTATGATTTCTGTGGCGGTCTTTTAAAACCTACTCTAAAATGTTATGGATATAGAAGACATGAAATTAAATGCAGTGATTTAACTAATGGTGGCCAAGAGATGGGTTGCAGCATACATTTTGTTCCAAAGTAAACTGTAATTGAAGCTGTCAGAGGTATGACCATTTTCCATCTCCTCTTTCAGGTGAGTGTAGTGCTGCATAGTGGTTATCATCCCACAATGCCAAAACTATACATTTTCTAAGTCCACTGAAAACAATGCTTTCTCTGTGTGAAATATACCCTATATCTTAGTTGCTAAGCAGGGAGGCCAAGTGATTGCAGTGAAATACAAAGCTCCCAAAGGTATCTAGCCTTGAAATCCTTATTTAATGCTGTAACAAATTTATGAAGAGTGAGCATGTAAAATGAAAGTGAACAATGGACGTCAAACTCCCCTTCAACATCCTGGAGCTCAGAACAATAAAAAAGACTCTGCAGTTCTGGACCCCCCTTCTGCAAAGACAGCCATTCAGGGTGTAGTCCAACAATGCTATGCCCATGGCCTACATCAATTGTCAAGGGGGCATCAGATGTTATGCAGCATTGAAGGAAGCAAGTCTAACAATGTCATGAACAGAGGCTCATTGTCAAGTGATCCCTGCAGTCCACATCCCAGAGTAAAAAACTGAAAGCAGATTACCTCAGTTGCAGCTGCCTTGGTCCTTCACCCAGACTTGTTCAAAATGGTATGTCAAAGATAAGGTACACCAGATGTGGACATTCTGGCCTCCAGATTCAACAACAGACTACTTCTGTTGTGTCTTTCTGTTTAGCACTGACATCACATGCCTTAATAATCTCCTGGTCTCAGTTCAGCCTAATCTGTGCCTCCCCCCAGTGTGAATTCTACCTCATTTGCTCCAATAAGATGGAAGAGGAGAAGAATCCAGTGATTCTCATTGCCCCAGATTTGCCCAGTAGAACCTGATACACAGACATACTCAGACTTCTAGCAGACAATCCCTTGCCTCTTCCCGCCAGGCCCGCTGCCTTCAGGGCCTTCTGTTCTATCCTGCTTCTTAGCCTCTGGCTTTAACAGCATGGCTGTTGAATCACAGGTCTTTAGAGACAGAGGGGTGTTTGAGACTGTTATTCTTATCTTGCAAAAAGTATGTACCATTTCCAGAAAGATCTGCCATCATACCTGGAAATCCTTTTTTGCCTGGTGTGAACACCGACACATATTCTGTCTTTTCTACAATTAGGTCTTGACCAGAACTTTGCCTTAAGCACTCTGAGAGGACTGGTTTCCACATTGTCCATTTATTTTCTAAAGCCACTGGCTTCGATCTCCATTTTCAATACTGTTATTCAAGGTGTATCCCACATCAAGGCCCCGTTGTACCATCCTGCACTTCCTTGGAATCTCAACATGGTTTTCTCTGCCCTGCAGAAATCACCCTTTGAACCTATCCGGAATATCCCCTTAGATGATCTCTCGTGCAAAAGGTCCCTTTTGGTCACTTACACATCTATCTGACATGTCTCTGAGTTGGTCTCTCTCTCATAAGGAGCCATTTCTCATTCTTCACAATGATAAGGTAGTCTTTGGCCCAAAACCATCCTTTCTTCCTAAAGTGGTATCAGCATTTCATGTCAATGAAGACCTTGTCCTCCCATCTTTATGCCCTGCTCCAAAGCACCCAAAGAAAATTTCTCTTTACTACCTAGACATAGTCTGAGCCCTAATAGTCTACTTTAAAGCAATAGTTTCAGTCAGAAAAACAGATTTGCTATTTGTCCTTTTCTCAGGACCTTGCACACCCTGGTTCCAAGTCCACAATCGCTTGATGGATTATAAATCTGAATGGAAGAGCTTACACTCTCACGGCCAGATCTCCTACAAATCTATGTGCCCATTCCACCAGATCAGTGGGGCTTGCCTGGGCATTCCATCAACAGACCTCTTTAGCCCAGCTTTGTAATGTAATCACATGGTCCATTGTTCTTTTTTGTTTCAAAGATCTTCTAGTGGACTTCTAGTCTTCTGCAGATGCAGACTGTCCGAAGCTGGTTCTATTGACCCTTGTGGGTAATGTTGGCACAGTTTTGTTTGCCTAGTTGTGCACCCTTCTCATTCATTACTTGGGGACATCTTAGGGTGTGTGAATACATTGCCAGTGTTCTGTATTGTACAATAAGGATAAGAGGAATTTTGACCTATCTGTAATTTGCATAGCTTGGAATACAGTACATGATTTCTTTGTGTTCATTTCTTGGTTACTTAGCATTGCTTGCTACAAAACTGATGATTCACAGAGTAGGGTAGGGTTATAGGGAGGGCACCCAGGGGATGAATCCTCAAAAGCATCCAGTGTCCAATCACCTGAAGGTAAAAGCCTATAACCCAGGGTCCATGAATATTTTGCCTGTGTGCTGTATTGTTCTCCAAGATATGTAATTTACAGGTTAGTCAAAACTCCTCTGTTAGTTTTGTTTGTACCAAAAAAAATTGTAGCAACTTTCATTTTAGTCTAAATTGTATGAAGAAAGGCTATATATTTGATATAATAGTAAGAGAAAGTAAAGTGTTTTTAAATTTTTTACGTCTTTTATTCATTTACAAAGGTAAAACAAAACACTAAAAACTGGTTACTAAATGCCACCAAAAGAAAGCTTTAGCTGATTATAAAATGATGAAAAAAATTATTTTGGGTACCCATATTACATAACCAAGTAAACTATTACAGCACAGAAAATAGGAAAATAGTTATCCGCACTCCAATTAGCTTTTCTTGCAGTATTTTTAAAAATACTGCAAGAAGAGCTAATTGGAGTGCGGCTGATTTTTTTTTTTCCAATTTTCAGTGAAGATGTACTGTGATGGCCGGCACCCAGGTTGTCCACATGCAGAAAAGGCCAGTCTTCAGCAGAGCTATGAATCTGTGTGTTTCTATTACAGCACTGAAATCGGACCTGGTTACATGCTGGTATTGAGATGGTTAAAAACATGGTGCAAATAACTCAAAATATGTGATCACTGGAAATACACCATATTTTTCCCTTTAGCTTCACAAGTTAAAATTTGACTTAAAGCAGCTGTAAACCCTTACATATACCCAGTGAAGTGGCTGGCCTCAGGTGATACACAGAGATTAAACAAATCCTCTTACATAAGTTCTACATGTTATCTGCAGTCTTCTCTTTTCCACAGTCGTTCAAAGTGAAGAATTTATACAGCTTGTCTGAGCTTTCAGAAATAAGGGGGCGGGGAGCTGAAGTTACACTCTGCAGATGCCACACTTACCTTTAACGCAGATGTTCCTAGATTGTAAGCTCTAATGAGCAGGGCCCTCTGTTTCCTCTTGTACCAAATTGTATTGTAACTGTAATGTCTACCTTCATTTTGTAAAGCGCTTCGCAAACTGTTGGCGCTATATAAATCCTGTATAATAATAATGGTCAGCCACTATAGCTAACTTCTGTGTTCTTCACCAATAGCAGCCCCCTTTCCCATAAAGCAAGCAGGCCTAGCAGTACTTGGTTGCCCCCAGGACTTGTACACAACGCTTTCGTGCCTAGTCACCACCCTGAGGCATGCGCAAACTGAGCACAGCAAACATGTACTTGCGGTTGGCAGACAGAGTAGTTCAATGACAGTCCAGGTCAAAAGGCAGGCAGATTTTAGAGAATAGTTGATACCTGATCTGAGGTTGTCAGTGACAGAATCTAGACAGCAGAGCAGGACAGTCAAATGAGGAGCTTGTAGCACATTTTACAAACACAATATCACACACATGAGACTGCAGGCTTGACTGGCTTAAATTTAAATCAGGTTTGCTCTCCACCCAGAGACTGTCCACATCAATCACATTACATGCGGACAGGCAGGGAGAACGTAACACTGCCAAAACCAGGATTCTGCAATGAGACCAGCAGCTGTGTTGGATCAGGAGCTCTAGACTCTCCTGACAGCAGAGCTCAGTGAGGATAGCTGAGAGGTGGGAAAACACCCCACTTCAAACAGCACTCAGGAATAGAGCTGAGGCTGTCAATCGCAAGCTGTGTATTAGTGCTCCCTCTTCTGTCACCCTCTTTCTCTTAGTGTCAGGGAAACCTGCTGATAGTAGAGGAACAAGGTAGCAGAGAGAAATGACACTTAGTGCCCTGGACTGAGACAGGTACACACTATGGAAAGATATGATTTGTTCTGAGATTTACAATCGCTTTAATCTCTACATTTTACAAATCAGAACATTTTTTAAATCTTTTCTTCTACTTTTACAGGGAACACTCAAAAGTGGGAGATGATAACTTGGAAACTGCATTGCACAGGCTCCACCTTCGAAGACAAAACTATTTAAGTGTGAGAAGCAGTTTTTCAAGGAAGAGTGTGAAAGGAGGTTGAAAATATCTAGAAGATGAACTGGACCAGAGTGGCTGTAGCAGTCCCAATGGAAGTAACTTGTCTATGTCAACCCACTTGTCAGATTTCACAGACTCTTCAGCTACCTCTAGTACCCTGCGCAGCCTTCTGCCAGAGAAACTGCAGATCGTCAAGCCACTGGAGGGTGTGTATCTGTGGTAACTTTTTTTTAGGCACTTTTGAATTTAATGAAACACATCTTGTAATGCTTTATGCGCTATATTATGAGCATATTCTACTATGCTCCCAAAGCTTGGTCCTTTTTATATGAAAAAGCTGGTGACGTGTATGGGTATTTAAATATGTTTTCTTTATTTAATGCATGACCGTCTGAATTTTCATCTTTAACCAGTATGTAATCCACCTTTTTAAATATTTGTTCAGGTTCTCAAACCCTCCACCAGTGGCAACAGCTAGCACAGCCAAACCTGGGTACCATTCTAGATCCTCGTCCTGGTGTAATGACCAAAGGATTTAAGCCTCTTCCTGAAGATGCCGAATACCACTTATGTGACTTAGAAGAGGATGAAAAGGAGGACGAGGATGAAGATGAAGAAGGGATAACTTTTAAAGTGCAGGAAAGAAAGGAAGAAGTGCCACAACCTACCTTAAGCATCTTTTTGCCATCCATTTCTGTATCATCAGCTCCAAGTTCTGGTTAGTGCTCAGTGCCTTTTAAGTTTTGGACATTAGGGCATGTCATGGTACCACAACAACCTATGAATAGCCATCCTGTTATAGCTTTTACTTTACCTAACCACTTCTTAGAGCCTTTGCAGTCCTCCACAGTGGGAAAGAACTGCCTGCAAATTGAGGCCAAACCCATCCAGTCCTTGAGCCCTGAGAACAGTTGCTGTCTTAAAAGTTCCAAAATTGATGTCTCTAAACTATTGTTTTTTAAATCCTAAAACATTTCACTACAGCTTTTCTTAATTTCTGCAGTTTTATCTTGTTAAAGGATAAGTTTACCTTTTGTAACATGTTACATGTCACACCCATATTCAGGGTGTAACATGTTACTGTAGCCTTGGCTCCCATACCCCCACCCCTACCTGCAAAGAAATGTGCTTTTTATTTATTTAAATTTGAACTTCTCCTTTAACATTGTAAATTTTATCTTTGTTTATAGATGTGCACACTGCATCTTTCTTCACCTCTGTACACTGTAGCCTGTGGCACATTTCCATCTATAAACCTTTCATATTTTGCAAAACATGGTATAAAACAATTGTACTTCTCCGTATGTTAAGGCGTTGGCTTGGTTTTCTTTAACCCCTTCGCTCCGGGGCGCCTCCCAGCCCTTTAAGGGTTTCAGAAGTTTAGGGTCATGTGACACGCCATCACGGCAGTCACATGATCGGGAAAGGTCCCAATCGAAAGAGGAGATCGGGACCTTTCCCTGAGTACTGGACACGTGTGCTGGGAGCGCGCAGAGCGTGCGCTCTCAGCACATATGTTCTTTTTTTTAATAGACCGCAAATGTGCGGCCACTCGGGGTCTAGGCCCAGACGCCGGGAGCCACACATTTGCGCTCGGCCGGCGTGAAGAGGTTAACGTTGCTTTCATAGTTATGTGTATTCTGCATTTTGTGTCTACATAGTGTACAAATAACTTGCCGTTTCTGATTATTTACATTGCAGCAACAAACCCTGGCAAGTGCCTGGGCAGCACAAACTCAACTTTTACCTTCACCACTTGCCGAATCCTACATCCCTCTGACATCACTCAGGTCACTCCCAGGTAAGCTTATCCCAGCTATTGGTACAGTCTTTCAGATCACCCTGATTGAGTCTCTGAACCAGAATAATGGTTTAGAATATGTTTTTTTATATACCAGGTATTGTTTTAGTATCTAATAATTCTTTCAGACACCAACATTTGCCATGCTTTACCTTTTGAAATTGTATAGTGTTGGTATCATAGAAACGTAAGTCATTGAAATATTTCTAAAGCCAAAACACTTTTTTAAGTTTTGGATGGAGTGGGTAATGGTTAAATGTCATGTCATATAGTGTTTTTGTTTTGTTGCTCTGTGTCCCATTGGTGAGATTTCCCTTAAAGCATAAACGCAAAAAATAACATTTGATCCACTATAAAGAAAAAATATCCTTACAATGCCACTTTTTTCCTTTCCTTTGGCTTTAAATACACAAATACTTGATCATCTCATCTGTTTCCTTCCTAGTTCCAAAGTTGCCAGCGCTATCCATGAGTTCAGACGTGGCAGTGTTGACACAGATGCAAAGTTCCGTTTTCAAAGGGAACAGCAGTATGCTGTGCATAAGCACAGCAATCTTGCAGTTTCCTAGTCAGCCTTTGTCATCACAAGCTGACACACCCATAGCCCTGCCCTCTCTATAGTTTGTGACAGCAGCTCCCATGTGGAGAATCGGCAGAAGGTAAAACAGTAGTCATACCTCAGGTAGCCCTGGTCGTGGATAATCCATGCAGCAGTGGCAACATAACTGCATTACAAATATAAAAAAAATGCTATTTACAGAGCTATTTTTTTATAATTTAATTAACAAGGTTGTTACTATGTTGAGTACTTTAGTGCACTGAGCATTTTTTGCATGGTAAAGTTGAAATTGGGGCACAAAAACTTTAATCTAAATATATTCCTTAATGGCCACAAAAGATATACAGTGGATATAAAAAGTCTACACACCCCTGTTCAATGTCAGGTATATGTGATGTAAAAAAATGAGACAAAGATAAATCATTTCAGAACTTTTTCCACCTTTAATGTGACCTATACATTGTACAACTCATTGTACATGATCAATTTATTTAGACAATATTTATTTGGAGTTCCGTTTTAAGGATTTACATACACTTTAATCCTCTGTCTAGGGACACAACTGGAAGGAGTAAGAAAACTTTGTAAAGTCACCATTGGAAGATTGTCCCTCTTTAACTCTCCTCAGAGAGACCGCAATAAAAACTTTGAATGAGCTGTAATACGGTTGGCAGCACACCCCTTTTGCGGGGAGAAAAGCTTTTGGTGCTGAGTGGATTGGACTACAGCAAAAAAAAAAAAAATCTGAGTTCTAATCCTTCCCCACTCTAGCCACAAGAGTTTTGACTTTAGAAACACTTTAAGTACTGTATATTTTGTGTTATCAAGTATAAGAGAATGTTATTTTTTTTTCACTGGGGACACAGGGTTAATTCTGATACAAGAGGGTTATACTGCTTTTTACAGGATATTGGACACTAGCAAACAAAGCTGTTAGACAGTATATTTCCTCACCCATTATGCAGTTTTTTTTGGGGTTTTTTTTAGCTAATGTCTTATGAGAATGTATGTCTTCTCTCTGTAAAAAGAAATCTGGTTGCTCACGAATCCAGCATTGAAGTCGGGGAAATCTGGCAGTCTTTCATGATGGCTTGACAGGGTGTCTTGGAAACTCTTTCTGTGCAAGGGACTTGGTTGCCAGAAGCTGCTCACCTCAATCAACTTATTGGAATTCTGAGTGCTTTGGTCATCTGAACCTGATTCAATGGTGACATATATCAAATCAAAGTGAGAACAGAAGCTTCATGGCTCAGAGATGCTAACCAGATTATGGCTTGTTCCTGCCCTGTTTGCTGTGCACATCCCAGGCTTGGAAAACTGGCAGGAAGACTTTTTCAGTCACCAATGCCCGGACTCCAGAGAGTGGTCTCTTCACCTGGAGATGTTTCAATGCCATTGTTGCAGGTGAAAACATCTGACATGGACCTTCTGCCATCCAGATGCAAAAAAAGAAAAAAACTGAGCTGGTTTGTCTGTTGGTTCAGGGACCCTCTGTGTCTTTGTGGATCAGTTCAATCTGATCTATGCCTTTCTTCCTATGAAGTGCCCTCCTCATCTCCTTCACAGAATCATGAGTAATACTCATCACACTTAGCTGGCCTAGGTGGATGTATTACTCAGACTCCTGGCAGATTCGCAATGGTCTTTCACAGATCACCCAAGACTTCTGTCCCAAGTACCAATTTACCACCCTGCTTCATGGTTGCTGAGTTTAATGGCATGACTGTTAAAGCTCCTGTCTTAAAAAATATGATTTGGTCCTGTGCTGCTAAAGACTAGGAAAAGCATCTCTTTCACAGTCTTATCACACCCAGTAGCTGTATTTTGCATGAGGGGAGGCAAGGAATTTCTATCCCAAGAAGTACTCCATAGGACGCTTGGCCATGATCAGCATTTGGCTTTGAGTACCTTCAAATGTCAGATCATGGATCTTGTAGTTCCTCTTGAGGTCTAAGACCTCCCTTCTCGCTGGTGATTTCTCTTATTCACCTTTACCAGCACATTGTGCTTCTATGTCTCTGTTTTGTGCCGGTACACCCCAAGGGGATAACCCCCAATTTTTGGATGTGGTAAAAGCAGTCCAGGTTCACTCTAGGCGCTATCAGACACTGTTAATTGATGGATAAAGTAGACAAGTGATTAAGGATAAGGTTCTGCCATTTCTGCCAACATGCACTACACTAGATCATTGAGTGCCTCTTGAGGCCTTCAGCATTTGCAAGGCTGCCACCTGGTCTTCGGTTCACACATTTTCTAAATTCTACCAGGTACATTTTCAGGCCTCTTCTGAAGCTGGTTTGGACGTGAGATTCTTCAGGAAGTTGACTTAACTTCAAGTAACCCCAGTTGTAGACTGTTGCTTTGTTGCCTGCCCCTAAGTTGAACAAAACTGAAGGTTTACGGGAATGGGAAGTACTATAAATTGGCTGACTTACTGCTTTATTTTCTAGTATCCAGTCTTCTGTAGGCAGCAGTTTTAAACCTCTTGTTTCTGAATTAACCCTCTGTCCATTAATAAACTCCATGAAAAGGTTATTCATTTATACAGCCTATTGTGTTGAGTCAGTGTGTGAAATGTTTCATTTTCTTGTTTCTTTCAGTTCTATGTACACTTCGTCATCTTTTGGAAGTAGCAGCACTTCTACCACCAGCACATTGGTGAATTCTCCTGCTGTGTCGTGTCGGCTAAGTGTCGGGGAATATTTTAGCAAGGCAGTAGATTCCAGCTTAAACAGTACAGGTAACTTAACCAAACTTCTTCAAGAACAAGGGATTTCTGCCAAGGTGAATAGCAATAAGGATCCAGAGAAGCCACCACGCCCACAAAATTTACTTCTTCCCTCCACACCACCCAATTCTCCCACACGGTCTCCATGTGTTTCTCCTCTTCCATTTGAACCAAGACCAAATCCATCAGAAAACTTCCTCGCAGTTTCCAGACCGGCAGAGAGTTTTCTTCAAGAAATGTATGGTTTGAAGTCCATACGAAACCAAGCTGACTTGGGTCAACTGAAGATGAATTTGGTGGATCGATTGAAGCGGTTAGGAATCGCAAGAGTAGTTAACCAGCCAGATCAGACGGACCAAATGCAGACCACAGTACTGAACAATGGGTTAAAGCGACAAGAGTCTGCTATGTTTGTTGCAACAAGCAGCAGTCTCTTTGGTGGTCTAAGAAGGAACCAGAGTCTTCCGGCTATTATTGGTGGACTTGCACCTCCAGTTTGCACGTATCCTCCAAAAATGGGTAGTTTAAAAGAAGATTGAGCATAGATAAAGAATAAAAAAAGACTGCTTTGATTAAATGTTCTCTGTTCAAAGAAGGAGTATTTGTATGTTTGTGAAAGGCTGTAGAAGGTTTGTGTAAGTGAAGGAGGAGAAAAAAGGTTATAAAAAGAACGACTGTGAAGAAGGACCTTGGAAAGTGATACAAAACGACTGAAAAGTAGGATTCAAATGTAGACAAAATACGATGACTGCTGTAGATCTGAGCTGACCAGGAGCAGCGGAATTATACTGGTCAGCTTTGCATCCAAAGATATTCCTCAAGCAGTCCCCTATTTTGCCACCAATTTTTAAGCTTGTTTACAGATAATTGATCCATAGAACGTAGACATGACTGAAGGTTTGATACAGAGGTCATTTAATAAATCAAAGCTAAAACTGTTACATGAAGTGTTAAACATTGTGAAGATCAACTGTATATGATATTGAGTATTCCAGCCAACTTTATATAAATATAAATGAATGTAAGAAATATATGGCCAGTTCAGAAACAAAGGACATAAGAATGATAGCCCACCAAAAGAAATTGGCAAAGCAAATGCAACTACAGAAAAAATAACACCAATTAAGCTTTATTCATTTTCTTTTGTTAATATGTAGTTATCCTAATTACCTAGATTGCTGTTACCTACCCTCATCTTCCCATTACTTTAATTTATTAACTACATAATATACCTAGATCATACAGTTGGTGTTTTTCAGATAGTGTGGCATGCCCTCCTCAGAATACTGTGCAGATTGTTGAAATTCACTTTGGTTGGTCCATTCCTGGGTTTCACGTGCCTAACTGCCCCTGACTGTTGTCTTCCGGCTTGGTTTGTTAGTGTAAGGCAGTGTTTCTCAACTCCAGTCCTCATGGACCCCCAACAGGTCATGTTTTCAGGATTTCCCTCAGATGAAACAGCTGTGGTAATTACTAAGGCAGTGAAACTGATCAAATCACCTGTGCAAAATAATGGAAATCCTGAAAACATGACCTGTTGGGGGGTCCATGAGGACTGGAGTTGAGAAAACACTGGTGTAAGGGCTCATGTACACGGGGACGTTTGGAAAACTCTTCTGAACAATGGAAACTGACTGCTGGAAAACATAGGTTAAAAAACGTCTGTTTAGCCATGTTTGCATACCCGTTTATGCGCATTTGCGGTTAGAAGCGTTTTCTTAAGATAACCTCAGAAGACCTTCAAAAATGCCCAGAATGCACTGAAAAACAGTAAAAAAATTAACTATTTCAGACATTTTGAGAGAAATAGAGCAGAAGCAAAGAGAGCAGTATGTGTTGAGATTATCTGTCTTTTCTGTTTTTTTTCACTATGGATCCCATCATGAACATAATGCGGCACGTTTTATCATGTTTTCCTTCACGCAAAACCTGGAATTGACTGCACTGGTGTACCGGGTCCATTTGAATACATGGAAAACACTTTGCATGTATTTCTAATGCTCTGGACAGCATCTGGATAAGGAACAATTAAAAAACGCTTCTAAACGCAAACGCTTATAAACGTGGTTAGCCGTGTTTACAAGCGTTTGGCGTTTGAAACGCAGGTAAAAGTTTGGTGCATTCAAATAAATGACTGTAAACTCAACTGCCTGTAAACGACTGTAAAAGACTATGTGTACATGGACACATAGGAAAACATTTGGGAGAGTTCAGGAGCTGCTAAAAAAAAAAAAAAAACGCAGAAAAGCTCCTGAACGTGAGTTTATCAGCTGCAGTGTATATGAGCCCTTAGGCCTCATGTACACTGCTGCTCCTAAATATGAGTTTACAAGCTTTTGGCCATTTTTTGCCAAAGCCCCTAGATGCAACTCAATAAAAGCCAATGTGTCCATGCACACATAGGCTTTTTTCTTTGATTAGCAGCAGCCTTTATGGGCAGTTAAATGTCCCTTTTCTGAACGCAGAAGACTCACTTCAGGAGAGGAATGTTTTGGACAGCAAAGCACAAGTAAGCACGCCTAAGCGCTAGCCGCGTTTATTCATTTCAGTGGCAAGTACTCTGGCTAATAAAACAAGTAAATGCCCATGCACTAAACGTGACTAACTGCGTTTACACGCGTTTTTGCCACGTTTAGCTTTTTTCAGCATCCAGGAGAGCTTCCGTCCAGGCGAGCTTAGCGTACATGCAGCTTTGAACATATGGTAGGTTTTCTTTTTTATGTATATGGATTGCCACAACAATAACATGAAAGAAAAACATAAAACCGCAGAGATTAACCAGTAGGGATCAATAGGCTGGATCCCAGGAAAGTCACAACTAGGATAAGTAATGTTTTGGTGTAATGCTGAACATTGCTTGTTTAGTTAACATGTTGAGAGTAAAACTTTTCGGGTCCATGCACACGAGCGCAAAAAAACTAACATTGAGCATTTTTTGTACTAGATTTAGGAGCATTTTGCAGCATTTAGGAGCATTTAGCATTTTTTTACTGCCAGAAAACTGCTCCCAAAAATGCAAATCAGAAGGGTTTTTTTTTTTTTTTTCTCTGCCTCTAAACGCTGAGCTTAAAACATGTTTCTAAGCGACCTAATGTGCATGGACACCTAGGATAACACACAGTTGTTTCTCCAGGCAAACCGCTAAACTCAAGGAGCAACATTTTTAAACCAGTGTTCATAGAACCTTATTGCTTAAATTGCTCCAACTTCTTTTGGTGGAAAACATTCAGCCATTAATAAAGGCATCTGCTGGAAGAACACCTTTTTAAAAGACAAAAAAAAAAGCACAAAATTTATAAATAATGAAGGTTTTATGTACTGTGAAGGAATACAAAAGGGATGTTTATAGTTCATTCTCGTAACAGCATTAAAACAGAGGATTTTTCACTTTGCTAAAATAAAGGTCACAAGCCTTTTTTTTCATTTTCCAGGTATTGTTATCAGCTAACAGTTAATCTGGTGCAACAAGTTTTGTGCAATATGTCAGAATTCTTTACTAATGTTGGTCTATTTAAATATTAACCTGTTGTTGATTAACTTCATTTTCTTACCTTGCTTATGGATAATCTACAGCTGACATCTTAGTGTACAGGCAAATACATTTTTCAATTCTTGTTTGTGTGAACTAACAAAGATAGATGCATGCAATATGTATTTTGTCTGTGTATGCAGCCCTGCCTACTTTATCTTAAAAAAACTTTCTCATGTCAACATTAACAGTCAGCTATATAAATGGTTGGGATAACTTGATAATACTCATTGTAGGTGTAGATTTTATATGTTTTTATTCTTGTCACTTAACCAGCTCAAAAAAAAAATCTTAATCTTAGGGTATGATAAACACCCTTTAATGCTACCAAATGATACCTGTTCATAAAGGCCTTATATAGTTCTTAAAATGATCAGACCAATTTAAGATTTTAAAAGCAATTTTAGCCGATGCCAGCAGGTTTGCTAGGTGAATATGGTCTTCATCACAGAGTCTGGCACCTGAAGATCCCACTCCCTTTTTATTTTCAGCTTAATTCATATTACAAAGAATGTAATCATATTAGGTCTCTTCCAGCTGCATCGGGGCTTTGAGACTTTTTGACAGGATTAAACAGGTGATCCAAACAATACACTAAAAGCAGACTTTCCATGAAAATGGAAGGTATGCTTAGATGACAGCCCTGCACCGCTTGTAAAGGAAGAAAGGGTACATCAACAGTTGCCATATACATTGTTTTATGGGGAAAAAAAAAAACGCATCTGCCTCAGTACTTGGCTTCTTACAGTTCCTGGAGGTGTCGGTGACATCACTGCACCTCACCACTGCATGCGGGGATAGCTGTGTGCACAAAATCCTGTGCAAATGCGCACCCAGCTTTCTTCTCCGTATCCAGCAAGTTGACATCACCTCATCGACTAGGTCCTAAGATAGGTTTGTTAACGTTTTCAAAACGCTGTATTTTTGGCCAATATTTACGCCCATTTCTTAATACCTGGTACGGGGCTGTCAGTCCAATTTTTACAGAAGGTCCACATGAAAATGATAAATGTTGTGTTTTGGTGGACTGAACCTTTATAACCGTTTATTCTTTTTAGATACACTTTTGTGCAATACTCCTGAAACAGTAGTCTGATGTTTATGAGCAGTGTTCAATAAACATTTTACTTTTTTTTTTTTTTTTTAATTTGTGTGTATGGTTTCTTTGCTGAACCATCCATTCATTCATGATAAGAAATACAAATTACTTCTGTGCCTTTTTTTTTTTCTTTTTAACAGCAAAGCTTTTTGCACTAAAGTTTATAAATGCATTGTTTTATGCTTTTAGCTATATATTGTGGAATACTTGATATTTTTATGACTGTATTTTGGCCTTTGCAGACTGCCTCAGGATTATATGTATATGGACATAGTTTAGCTCCTAACAAGTGACAGAAGTTGTTACTGTGGTTTGAAAATGTGTTTAAAAAGGTTCCATGAAGTTAATAGAGACACTGAGTCATATTTAAAAAGCCACTGATATACAATAACCCACAGCAGCCAGTCAGAGCAATGGAAGATTATTGCTGGCTCGTTATGAGTTAGTAGACTTGTTGCCCTTTAACTTATTAATAATCAGTGCCAGTAAGTCATTTATAAAGAACTTTTGGCTTTAAGGTTTATTCCCCATGGGTTAATATTAGTATCTAGTTAAAAAAAAAAAATAGGTAATGTTAGCGTCGTCTTCCCCATAATTCCACTGTTTTGCTTTGCCCACTCGTCTTCCTTGAGGTTCACTCCCTTTTTTTTTTTTTTTTTTTTTTTTTTTTCTAATCACGTTTTTTTTTTTATTCATGTAATATTTGGTATCTTGTATCACTAAGTTATACCAGTCACATACAATTTCTACAGGAGGAACTATTGATTATGTAATAAAAGCTACCCACTTTATGTCCTGTGTCATGATTTCATCATTTGCTAAAATTCCAGGAGCAGGGATTTTTTTTTTTTTTTTAATACTTACAGAAATTCTTCAGGAAATGAATCACTTGCTGACCTGTGTACACATTG